TTTTTTTTTTCAAACAATTTACTTTATTTATTTAAAGAAAAATTTACAAGTATCGAAAGACTATAAACACAAATATTTTTTTCAAAAAACAACGACAAAAAATTTTTCATTTCATTTCAATAGTTACTCAAACCAGCTCCTCTGTTCTTCGTTAAGATAAAAACTATAATAATAATAACTTAGCTATAATGGTAATAAACATATTATTATTATGATGATTATATTACTTAATGCTTTTTAATATTATATTTTTTTCTTTCTTTCCTTTTCTTAAAATCATCGATAAACAATGTTGATTCCTGAACATCATTAACAGAAAATCATCTATGAACCAAACCCAAAAGAAATGACAATATAAACTTCCGGAACGATCGAATAAATCAGAGATGAGATCAGAAACGAGAATATTTAATAATATCGAACGAACAAACAACGAAAGGAATAATAAAAGTGAAGAAAAAACAATTTTATTTTCTTCAAGATAAACATTGATTTCTTCTTACATAATACTCTCTTCTTTTTTGGAATTTAAATTGGTTTTTAATTTCTTTCAGGTTTTTTTGAATTTAAATCGAATTCATTCATTCGAATACACGTACTCAACCAGCCAGCCAACCACAATGCACTCACAAAAAAAAAAAAAAAATATATATATACTGCATTTGAAATCTGGTTGAATCAGGATTTTTTAGCAATGTGATCTTTTTCGGTAGATTTCCTGGAATGAATGGCAATTCAATCAAATAAATGACAAATTGAAATGAATTCAAATAGTGGTGGGCGAAAAATGTTGAAACAACAACAAATAAGAAGGAAAACTAATGTCAAATTGAAACTGAATTTTTCAACAACAACAACAAAAACTAATTGATTAAATTTAAAATGAGAATGCACATATCAGATTCATTATAAATCATCATCATGATGATTATGCAACGAAAGAAGAAGAAAAAAATTCAAAAACAAACAACAAATGGAATTGATTTTTAATAGTTAGTTTTTTTCATTCATTCATTCATTCATTCATTCATTTAATTTCAATTTTCAATTTGAAAAAAAAGAAAAGAAAAAAATATTCACCACAAATATGAATGGTGAAGAAGAAGAAAAAAAACAAAGAATTTGAATAGTTTAAAAAAAAGAAAAAAGAAAGACCATAATTAGACAAAAATTATTGATCATTAAAGCATCAATCAATCAATTAGAGATGAGAATAAAAGATATTTGGAAAAGATCGAAGATGAGAGAACGAGAGAAAAAAATTTGAAAAAAATAATATACCCGGAGATCATCTATTACCGTTTTGTTGTATTGTATATTTTTTGTTTGTTTGAAATTGATACATAATTGATAATTAATATAAACATAATTGAAAAATTCATTTGCTTGTTGTGGTGGTTGTTGTTGTTGTGAATGTTTCTACAATTCAATCATTATTGGCGTTAATCCAGGTGAACAAGGGGAGAGAGAGAGGCAATATATCAAGTGATGTATGCATAATAATAAAAAAATTGGAAATAAGCTAGTTATAATAATAATAATAATAAAGATAAGAGAGAAAAAAAATTGCAATCTTAATATTGTTTGTTTGACAAGTTGCAATGATGATGTTGATGATGATGATGATGATAATGATAATGTTCATGCTTCATTTAATGATATATGGCCTATGGAAACAAATAAAGAATTGAGAGGTTCTTGTTGTTGTTGATTTTTTCATTCAAATTCAAATTCCAATTCCATTATATCATTCATTGTGATGAGAAATTATTATTTTGTTTTGAATGAAAAAAAAGGCACAATATAAAATGGGTTAATGATGATGTTTTTTCTTTCTCAATTCATGATGGTGATGATGATCAATATTTTTTTTTTGACTTAGAATTAAAATCGATCACTTAATCAATCAATCATCGAATTAATTGATTTAAATGTTTCGATTATTGTTATTATTATTATCATTGATAATGTTGTTATTGTTATTATCATTTCCATTATTATTATTATTATTATTATTATTATTATTTGTTGAAGCCGTTGTTTGTTGAACAATATGATTATAATGATTTGAAGAATTACCAAATAATGATAATCTTGTCATTCCATTTACATTATTAGCAGGTATTTCATATACCAATTGCTGTAAATCTGTTAATTCTTGTAAAAAGCTTGCAATATTTGAACCAATTGATGATTCCTGTTGATTTAAACATTGTTCAATACTGATTCCTGAATTTAATGATGAAAACATTTTTTCATAATCAATTGCAATCGATATTCGACATATTGGACATTTTTTATTCTGTTTGAGCCATTTATCGATGCATTTTATATGAAACACATGAAGACAAGGTAATCGTCTAATCAATATGAACAAAAAAATGATTTCAAATTATAACATTTCACTTTAAATGAACATATTTTTTTTTCAAACATACCTGACAATAATATTGACACAAAAACGATCCAAACATATTGAACAAACATCACTTTCACAAGCTTGATTTTGTTGGTTATTATTACTAGTTCGGCTACATTCACCTGAACCATTACTTTCGACAATAACTTTCATTCGTTTACGTTTTTTCGGTTTATATTCATAGGAAATAGTATGACGATTAATTTCTTGTTTAGTAAGTCCATTTTGTAGATTAAACCAATGACCATCACGATTTAATTGAATAGCTGTACCGTGTAATCTTTCGAAAACAGTACGAACTATATCACCGTTGTTTGTTGATATTTCCGGTTGATTTGGTGGTGGTGGCGGTGGAAGAGGTGTTGTTACCGTAACATCTGGTGCATTCGAAACATTCTGATTTAATTGATTATTATGAACATTATTATTATCAGAAGATGTTGATGCAGTTGCTGGTAAAGGTGTTGGAAAAGTAATTTGAAATGGTGATACAAGCAGTTGTGAAGGAAAACGCCTGGATAAATTTGGCCGATAAATTGTTGCCTCAAATTCTATGGGTCGTGTATCAGTTGATGTTGAAGATGCCGAGGCTGCTAACGTTGCTAGTGTTGAGGCCGATTCTGCTGTTGTTGTTGTTGTTGGTGCAGGATCATTAGATAATGATGAACCTGTTCGATATCTTTGATTCGAAAAAAAAAATTTAGAAATTCAAATGTAATTATCGTACGAAAAAAAATTCACCTTAAATAATATTGCCTATAAAAATTACGTTCACGTTCTGCTATACGATTTCTTTGTAATGATGGAATATTAGCATGCAACAATTGACGACGCATAAGAGTAGGATGATTATTATGATGATGATGATGATCAATCGAAATGTGAGAATTATCTGTCGAATCCAATATTCGTGATGTTGTATGCCTTAATCAATTGAAGAAGAAAGAAATATTACACAATAATTATTGATAATTATAAAAAATTAAGAATAATTACTGTATTTGAATCTGTATTCGTCTTTGTGTTCGTCCATTATTGCCATTCGATGATGATGATGATAAATTTATATCCGAATTTGTAGTTGATGATGATGTTGATGGTGGTGGTGGCGGTGGTTCTGAAGTCGTATGAAGACCAATAATCGGCCTGTTTGGCTGTTCCATTCTTTTCTTTTTTGATACAAGTTTCAATCAATTTACTTGATGAAATTATTTTATTTGTTTTAATTATGAGAAGAAAAAAAATTTAATCAAACGATGGAAAAACCAATGAAAAAAAACACCAAACGAGCAAGAAATCGAAAGAACAACAACAAACAACAACAACAACAACAACATCAAAAAAGAAAAAAGAAAAAACAGCATCAACATCAACAGACAGACAGACAGCCAGACAAAAGCTTAAATATTTTTATTTTTTTTTTGATCCATTCATAAATATCAGGATAGAATTTTTTTTTTTTTTTGAAGAACTTTAAACTTTTTTTTGTTTTTGTGTTTTTTTACTTGAAAATAAAAACAAAAATTCAGAATTTTCAAAATATTTTCCATTTTATCCAAAAACAAACAAACAAATTTCTTAGAAAAGGATTTATATCTTTAAAAAAATAATTATAAAAAAAATCAATCATTATTATCGATTATGTTGGTTTCAAAAAAAAAACCAACGAAGAATCATGGGAAGAACAGAAAACAAAAACATAAAAAAATTATTGTTATTATTGTTTTGAAAAATATTAAGTCATCATATATTGCCAAGAACAAAACCACCAGAAGGTTGCCCGTATCTTGGCGACATGATTATTATTGTTATAAATTCAAAAGTTTTTTTGGAGAAATAAGAAAACTTGGAATAAAATTGTACTTTGATTATGATTGTTGTTGTCGTTGAAATAAAAGTATTGATGAACACATATAGTATATATAGATGAAGAAAAGAAGGGGGTTTCGTAATAATTTTTTTGTCCTTTTTTTCAAATGAATGATGATTGTCAAATGAAAACAAACAAACGAACAATTCTTTGTCTTTGACAATAATAACTCGAATGTAACGATTCTTTAATTTGGAGGAAAAAAACATCATGTCTTCAGAAATATTATATCAAATATTAACTGGTCATCAATCGGATGTAAATTGGGTTGATTTTAATGGTCATCGTAAATTGGTTAGTTGTTCGAATGATCGTACAATACGATTATGGGAAACAAATGATCAACAATATTTTGATAAACCAAAACTGTCAACATTAATCGGTCATGAATATGGTGTTAATTGTGTACGTTATTCACCATTCGGTACGATTATTGCATCAGCATCAACTGATGGTTGTATTATTCTATGGAATAGTCAGGTAAGATTTTTCAATTAATTCAATTTGATTCATTTATTAATCAATTACTAAAATGATTAGAATGGTGAACAAGTATTAAAAATGATGCATGAATCAAGAAGTGCAATTAGAGTTTGTTGTTTTTCACCATCATCAGCATTATTAGCATCGGGTGCTGATGATGAAACATTAGTTGTATGGGATATTAGTACAAGAACACGTATAAAGTAAGTGTTTGTTGTGATGATTTCTGTTTGATTTTGTTAAAAAAAAAGAAACATTTTTTTTTAAATATAAAATTTTCATTAGAACATTATATAAACATGATGCAAAAATAACTGGATGTTCATTTACACCTGATAGTACATATATGATTTCATGTTCAAGTTCAGGTGATTTAAAATTATGGGATACAAAATATGGTAATGTTTCATATCTAATGACATATGAAGTTGCACATGATCTTGGTGTATTAGGTTGTGATTTTAGTTCACAATATGAAGTGAATGGTAAGTGAAACAATCAATCAATGAATAAATGAATGAATGAATGAATGAATGAATGAATGAACATTTTTCAAATTTGATTCAAGTTGCTGATGGTCCATTACAAAGTTTTTATCTATTAGCAACATGTGGTAATGATGATTTAGTAAAATTATGGCATATAAGTGGTGGTCTAAATTGTTCAATACGTTTATCACATAAATTAATTGGTCATGATGCTAATGTTAATTGTTGTAAATTTTCAATGGATGGTTCGCTATTAGCATCTGCGTAAATTATTCATTTATTATTTTGAAAATGTTCAATTCATTAAATGTTTGATTATTATTTTCATTTGATATATTAGTGGTGGTGATAAAATGGTTATTGTTTGGGATCCAAAAATTGGTCAAATGATTCATCGTTTAGATGGCCATAAACGTTATGTAACAAGTTGTGCATTTTCTGATGATAATAAATTATTAGCATCTGGTTCAAATGATCAAACAATTATTGTTTGGCATTTAAATAAAATTAAAGCTAAACATTTTAATATAAAAATATCGACAAATCAACAACAACAACAACATTCAAATGAATCAATTCATATGAATAATCATCAACAGAACAAAAAAATTCAGAACAAAAGTTATCAATCGTCATCGTCATTATCATCAACAAATGATATGTTTAAGAAAAAATTTCCAACCGAATGGAATACTGATGATGTTTGTGATTGGCTTACATCATTAGGTTTAGAACGTTATACGAAAATATTTCGTAAACATGAAATTGATGGTCCTGAATTACTTCATCTAACACATGATGCTTTACTTACAAATTTAAGAATCGGTATTTGTTTTTTTTTCGATCAATCATAAATCGATTTGACAATGATTTTTTTTTATATTTCTTATTTATTCACAACATAACAGAACCTTTAGGTCATCGTAATAAAATTCTACGTAGTAGTTTATTTCTAAAAAATCCATTATGGCTGAATACGGATGAAACGGAAAAAGAACGAATACAAAAACCAAGTGAATTTTGTTGTCCGATAATCAAAGAAATAATGAATGATCCGGTTGTCGCTTCAGGTTTTTAAATAATTTTTTTTAATTGCTTTTTTCTTTTGTTTTGACATTGTTTTGGTTTTTTTCCTTGTTGATTTTGTCATTCACAAAAAAAATAGATGGACATTCATATGAACGAACAGCAATACAAAAATGGATATCCGATGGTAATGTTACAAGTCCATTAACCAATGAAGTATTGGATAGTCAAATATTAACACCAAATTATAATCTAAGAAGTTTAATACGAAAATTTCGTAGTACAATTCCGACTATCGAATCAAATGATTAATGGATGAATAACGATTCGACGATATCGGATTGGATTGAGATAATTTGCTGTTTCTTTTTTTTGGTTCAAATCTAATTATCATTCATTATTTGAACAATAAAATCTCTTCTTTTTTTTCTCTCTTTGGATCCAATTCAACATTCAATCGTATAATAATAAAAAAATTTGTTTTCGAAAGAGACCTTTTTTTTGTTTGTTGCTGATGATTAGTTTTGCTTTGGAAAAGAAGATTTCTTTTCCAAAGAAATAGAAATAAAAGTTCAAGATTTTTTTTGTTTTCTTGGATACTTTCTTTAGATATTTCAACAAAAAAAAAAGTCGTAGAAAACTCAAGAGTCAAGGTTAACGTGTTAGTATGTTAGCCTCTATGACTCTTTTTTTAACATGTTTTTTTTCCCAGCTCAAATTTTTTTTTCTTCTAAGAAGTATGTGAATGAGAATGATCATTGCAAAATCGTCATCGGACAATCAACTGGTGAAAAAGAAAAAAATATACTTCAACGGTAACAAAATGACTCAAATGACCATATCCGAACCTGGATTTAAACAAATTTGGTTAAGAAAATTTCAAATTTTTATCAATAAATTTATATTCATATTATGGACTGGTCTATTAATCTATGCTGTTGGTCCTTATTATTCTATAAGAGAATTTTTTAGAAATTTACAAATATTTGGTAAGTTTTAAAATTTACTTACAATTTTTTTTTTTTGAATTATAATATTTTAAATTAGGTTTTAAAAAACTTGATTACAGTAAAGAATTTAATGGTATTGATTTATCGGAAAAAGTTTGTGTGATAACTGGTGGTACACGTGGTATTGGTCTTGAAGTATGTCGATATTTAGTCGAAAAAAATTGTCACATTATTACGGGAACTTCAACGCTGAAAGATGATGCCAATAATGAAATGATTGAACAAACCAAAAGAAAATTATTGACTAATATTGATCCATTATCGATTAATAATGCTGACAATAAGATTACTGTATTTCCATTGGATTTATCATCAATGAATTCGGTTATAAGATTTGCCAAACAAATTGAAATGAAATTTTCAAAAATTGATTATTTGGTAAATATTACAATTTGGAAATTGGATTTTAATTTTTTTCCATTAATTTATCGCTTATTAGATATGTAATGGTGGTGTAATGTTTGTACCATTCAATATATCATCGGATCATTTTGAACAACATATGGCTATCAATTATTATGGACATTGTTTATTGATTACAAAATTATTAACATTATTATCAATGAATGATCAACCAGGTAGAATTATTATCGTTTCATCGGGTGCACATCATGCTAGTTTTGGCCTTAGACTTCATGATCTAAATTCAATGAAATTATTTTCCACTTATCATTCATATTGTCAATCAAAATTATGTCAAATAATGTTTACTTATCAATTTAATCGATGGCTTTATTCATCATCATCGATAAATTGTCCAAAAGTAACTATAAATTGTCTTCATCCGGGAATGTGTCGTACCGGTTTGATGAATGCATTCAATTTTATTCGTTACATTGGTTTCATTCGAGAATCACCATTATTTCGGGTAAATATTTTGGAAATTTTTATTTTAGAAAAATTTTTCACTTTTCCTTTTTTTAGTCGGCTGCTGAAGGTGCTGAAACAATATTATTTACAACATTATCGAAAAAAATTGAAACAATTAGTGGTGAATATTTTGAAGATTGTCAACAAAAAAAATCCAGTCAATTGTCATATGATTTATCAATACAAAAACAACTTTGGCAACAAACATGGCAAGATTTACGACCATGGCTTACAACCGATGAGATTAAACAATTTTTAATCAAAATTTAATCCAAATCATTTTTTTGATTTATCCAAATATAAGTTTTTTTATGCTCCAATCATTCCATTTTGGCATATAATGTTTTTTATTCCCAATAATTTTGTTCAAATGGAATGATTATTAATGACTGAAATAATTTCATTAATTCATTAATGATGACTTTTGTTCATTGTTGTGACGGGAAAATTTCTTTTTTCTCTTTTTTTTGTCTTTCTCAATAACTCGGGTTTTTGTCTATTTCAATAAAAATTTCATTAACTATTCTCGGTTCATTGATTATGATTATCATTTTTACAAAAAAAAAGAAGAGGAAAAGATTTCTAAATCCAAGGCCTATATTTATTTATTTTTTTTTTTTTTTTGTAATCAAACTTTTTTCCCCATTATCGTTCAATAATATTGATGTTTTAAAATGCAAAAAAAATTGATTGTTTTTGATGAATGATAATCCATTATCATTTTCAAATGTTTTTCTTTAAAAAAAAATATTTATTATAATTATTATAAAATCTCACAAATGAACAGAATCACAGAATTTTTTTTTCTGTCGAAAAAGAATGAATTCAAAAAATTGAAAAAAAAAATTTCTTATCACCAAAAATAATAAGTATTTCGTAAACGACGTAAAAAATATGAACGTTTTTCACGAATTAATTCAAGAATTTCTTCAGATAAATATTCAAGATTATATACTTGTGCAAGACGATAAATTTCCAACATTGATAGCCAACAATCATTTGTATCATTATCATTGTTCGAATGTTTATCATCATTCGAATTATCATCATTTGGAACAATAACATCGGTAACAGCCAATTCGGATGTTATATTACGTAATTTTTGTACAAATTCATCCGAATATATCCGTTCAAGATAATCAAAGAAATATTTACTACAAACAAGTATACAATCGAAAAGAAAATCTAATGAATCTTGATTTTGTTGTTGTTGTTGTTGGTTATAATTATTATCTTGTTGTGGTTGTTGTTGTTCAATTGGATCATCAACAGCAACAATAGCTAAAAAACGATTCATTATTTTACGGAAAACATCTTGTTTTTCATTTTCAATTATTTCAATTTCATTCAAATCGATTGTGGGAGATGATGATGATGATGATGATGTGGAAGTTGTTGATTGTTGTTGATTTTCATTCGAATCATCAATATCATTATGAAAATGTATTAGTGCATTGAAAAATTGGCTTGATTGACATAGAATATTGCTTGGTACTGTGTATGTGATAGATTGAAAAAAGACTGTTATTGAGAAAGTCCAAATGAAAAAATTACATTGAAAATACCTTTATAATGATGATCACAAATTTTAATTATAACATATGGTGGAATCATCATTGTTAATGGTGATATTCTACGATAATGATGATAATGATGATTACGATGGTGATGATGTCTTAACCATCGATGGCCATAATGATTATGATTATGATTTAGGTTTGAATGTTGACGATAATGTTGGCCAATATGATGTCGATGATTAGACGATGAACGAACCGTGTTGGTTTTATCGTTTGTCGTTGATGATGATGATGATGATGATGATGATGACATTGTGTTGTTAATATTTGAAAATTTCATTGTCTATATTGATGATTATGGTGGAGGCGGTTTGGTTACGATTTTAATATGTATGTATGTATGTAACAATAAGGAAAAGTAATTTCTTTCTCTCTCTCTCACTTTCAATGGCTTATTTTAGACATTTTATTTTTTCCTTTTTAACCATACACCATAGAAAAAAAACTAACCGAAAACAATAATAATCCTTTCGATTTTCGACTACACACACCAGCAAAAATCAATGGAAATAAAAAAGCTTAGCTTCGAATAGTATACACGCGTGTTTTTTTTTGAAGTTCTCACGATATAATCAACAAAAACAACAAAAAAAAACGATTCAGAAAGAGAATAAAATTCATTTTCAAAGTTATAATGGCAAACAACCGTCAGTAATGCCAGTAAGTTATTCATATCCGAAATACGATTCTTTTTCTCTTTTTTTCGACTGAAACTGAAATTATTGGCCATCAAAATTTCATACGGTTGTTGTATCCATTGTCAATCAAATAAATGGGTTGGATCGTCGAACATGTGAATAGCGCAAAATGGTTAAAAGTGAAAAGTGAAAAGAAAAAGAAACGAAAATTCAATGATGGCGAAACAGGAAAGAAAAGAAAAAAAGATTGGCTTCAAGAACGACCACTTGTTGTTCATATACACGAATGGCTTGAATCGATACTTTACGATATGAGGTGTGTGTGTGTGTGTATTCACAAACTTCATTGATTCACGAAGAAAGAAAGAAAAAAAATTCATTTGAATTACATTTCTGAATGCACAGGATGCTAAATTCACATCATTTCATTATCATTATCATCATCATAATCTGGATCTAAACTTGGAAATTTAAAAACTGGATATTTTTATAAATTTATGATAATAATGATAATGATGATCATTTTAAGAAAAAAAAACCTAAAAATAGCATCAATATATTTGAATTCTTTTCTTTTCTTTTGAAAAAATCGATGACGATAATATTTTGTGCGTCATATAAATCCTTGTTTTGTTTATGTTGTTGGCAATTCACATTGTGTTGGGTAGTTGAAAGTCCTTGAAATTTTTTTTCTTTTCAAATAAAGATATTAATTTTTCTTCGTAAATAAAAATCACGTGGTTTCTTTTTTTTCATTTCGTTCTTTCTTCAGTAATAAGTTTATTTATACAAACGAAAAAACTTATTTACGTAAACTTTGATCCATTAATTTTTTCGATTGGAATAATTTTTTTGAATCTGAATGAATCTTTTTGCTAAATCAATATGGATAAAAATGTTTGTTTGTTTTTTTAAATTTTCTATCCTTATTTGATTTTGTTTCTTTTACTTCTTGTCATCCATAATTGATTGATGGATGGATTTATCGAATTGTCATCAATCGAGGCAAAAATCAAGTTGAAAAAACAAACAAAAACAAAATTAATCTATTTTCCTTTTAGTTTTTTTTTATTTATTTGCAATTTCCATTTTGAATCCATTTCCAGGAATAAATTTGATTCAAATTCACACAATGATGATGATTCATTCATCATCGTTGGAAACAACATTTATTTGATTGAAAAAAAATGCACAACAGGACAGAAAAAAAAGATGATAATAAAGAGAGAAAAAAAGATGATAATAAAGAGAGAAAAAAGTGTATGTGAAAAATAACAGCAACAACAAAAAAAATGATTAACTATCACAGAGACATTGGCATTGAATAATGATAATGATTTATAAAATAAAGAAATTTGTTTCTATTTCTTGAATCATTTGATTATTTGTCGGCATTTTTTTCTCTCTCTCTGAATGATTCATGTATAGAAATAGCATCCAATAGGAAAAAAATAAATCAATTAAAATGTAAGAATTGTTTCAATCGGATCAATTATTTGATTTTATTTTGTTCGTATTGGCGATAATGATGATGATGATGATGATTTGGACAATAATGATAAAGGCACAATATGTGGTGGTTTAAAAACGCTATAAGGTGAATAAGGCACACCTATTATAATCAAATGTGAATGATAATAATGTAAACGCCACATTCCATTATGATAGCCACGAGCATCTAGATCCCATATATGTAAACATTTTGCCATTTGAAGCCATGTATTATAATCATTAACATTTGTCATACGAATAAATATCAGATAGATATTTGTCGTATCCATCATCATTGACTGTAATGTTGGTGATGATGATTGATTTTGGGTAAGATTTTTCGCTACATTGATGGTTGTTGTTGTTGTTGTTTTAAGAAAATTCGAGTCACAAGGACCTTTTCGATGATCAATAATTACAGCCATACGAATCAATCGATTGATTAGACGTTCATAGTTTTCTCTTTTCAATCTATAGATTTTTTAAAAAAAAAGTAAAATGAGTTAATGTACGAATCAATCAAATTTGTTTGTTTTTTTCAAAAAAAAACTTACAGATCAACATTTTTCAACAAAACACTTGGATTTGTATTGAATGCATGTTTTTTAAAATACATATCCTGAAAATATGAATTCATATTTAAACCAGATGAACCAAAATGATATGTACGTGATACATCAGGTACAATACATTCACGACCACGTCGTATATCGGATAATCTCATCCACATATCCCAATCCCATGATTTATCCGGTGTAGGCCATTTAGATTCTAATTCATTTTTATATAATTTACGTGTTAACATCCAACCTAAACCGGGCATTGTTTCAACACGATAAAGTAAACTTGTATCACTTGATGTATGTTCATATGCTTGATCATTCCAAGCTGAAATACAGAATAATGTATCATCTTGATCAAGTAGATGCATTGTTTGTGCAAAATATCCAAAAAAATCCGGTGAAACATCCAAATCTTCTTCCAAAATAATAGCATATTGTGCATCTGGATAAAGATTGAATGTAGCCGTTAGACTAGCTTTATAATGTTGTGTAATTCTTGAATTGCCTCGACCAATTGGTGTATGTTGTATACCACGAAGGCCAAATAATTTTGCTACTTCTAACGGTTCTTCATAATAACCATCGATAAAAATTGTTATCATTGATGGATTACAGCCAGGCGTCAGCAATAATGTTCGTAACATTCGATAAAGATAATGTGGACGATTCGAAGCAATAATAGCTATCGGAACTTGTGATATTTTAGCCATTGGATCATAATTGGAAACAAAACGTAATGGTAATGGATCATTACAACTACAAACCGAACCATAACCTTCAATACGTGAACAAAAATGTTTTCGTCGTTCTTTTGTTTCATTATCATCGGTAAGAAAAACAAAATTTGATGATATACTTTTTACTTCATCAATCATATTCGATTCAGTTGATATTGATGATGGTAAAAAATTTCTTAATAATTTATTAAACAATGTTGATGGTGTTGTTGTTGTCCATTTACAATCATCATTTATTTCGGATGGATATAGTTCTAAATCAACATGAAGTATAGCTGGTTGTGCCCATGAATTAAAATCAATACATTTTGAATATGATTCACCTAATAAAGGATCAGTATTTGAATGTTGCCGTGTTAATAAACGTTTTTGAATGACCATTGTCCACATATCACGCCAACCAATATCTTGTGCACGTTTTGATCCTAATCTAGTTAGAAAATCACGTGCAGTTTTTTTCAATTGAAAACTACCCTCATCTTTAATAGCAAATATAAGTATTCGTCCATCGGATACCATACTAATAAATAATGACATTGCTTCATCTTCATGTGTTGAATATGTATCAAAATGACGTCTAGCCATTATTGATCCGGTCATTTGATTCAATACAAGTATATGTATTCCACGATTTTTTCCATCTTCAGAATCGTCTAAAATCTTGAATTTTAAATTTTTAATAATTCCAAATTCACGAAACAAAACAACTTACAATAGTTCCATCGACTGTAACCATAGCACGATTTTGACTAGATATAATATCCAATTTGATTATTTGTTGATTATTATTGTTGTTGTTATTGAAATCATTTGAATGATTATCATACAATGAATTAATGAAATGACCATCTTTAAGGAACAGAGAAAATACAATTATTAAACAAATATTAATTCTTAATATTCAAGGTTTTACCATCAATATTTGGCAATGATTGTTGCTGTTGTTGTTGTTGAAGACGATTACGAGTTTCAATAATGAATAGAATATTAATAATAACAGTGACCATCAAAATGACCAAAAATAAAAACTACAAAAGAAAACAGAAATTAAATTAACATTTTTTTTATGGAATGGTTGAATGATTTGAAACAAACAAACCCGTATTGTTTTGATTATCAAACGACGCATTGGAATTGCCGGCATTGAACGAATGTTGAAAAGATTTTTCCACCGTCGCCACCACCACCACCATAACGATGAATGATGATGATGATTATAGCGATTGAAATGACCACAACAGAATGATTTATTTAGATTTTTATTCAGATTTCCAATATGGTCACTATTATTATCAAGGTTTTTGAACAAAGGTTGATGCTCTTCTTCTTCTTCATTATTTTTATCTAACATTTTTTTTCGTTTTCGTGGTTGATAATGTTAAAATTAATTTTTCTTTTTTTGATAATGTCAATTCTATCTTATGTCAATGTTTGTTGCCATTTTTAGAATGATAACAAAAATGAAACGATTGTCAATTTAGTGATGGGGTTTTGCAAAAAAAAAATGTTTTTGTTTTTTTTGTCAAAGAAATATGTGATCGAACGATCATCATATGATACATAATAATGATAATAAAATCAAGAAACTGTTCGTAAAATTGTTTCAAAAAAAATAATAAATAAATAAAATCGGCCTGGAAACTCAAGTGTTCAGAAAGAAAATTCGTGCATGCGTTTCACTTCGATTTCAAGCGAACCGAATTTGAGCAAAATAGAATTGAAAGAATTTTGATCGAAAAAATATTGTTGGATTGAATAAACAAAACAAAACAGGCACATACACACACCAAAGGCACACATTTGAGCACCAGGAATAAAAATAAAACAAACCAGACTCATGTTATTTTTATCGGTGTTTGCATTTGGATTTTTGTTTGTTTTACAGAAAAAAAATATTGTTTTCGATAAGTAAACGATCCTTTTTTTGGCAAATATTGGCCACTTATCACATTTTTAGGTCTAAATTTATGATTTTACCAAGTTTTCCTTTCATTTTCGGTTTGTTTTCAGCTGGATATTTTCAGTTTTTTTTTGTTGGATCAATATTATATCCGATATATGATTTATTTGAAAAGAAATTATTAATGTAATTTCCGAATCGAATATAATCATAGAATGGCAAATGTGTGTGTGTGTATAGAATGGAATGTCCAAATGTCATTGGCATCATTAATGAGAAAAAAAAATTTCAACCGAAAATTTCTTCTGCGAAAAAAAAACAAAAAATGTGGTCAATAAACCACAAACAGGTTACAGTGAACGAAGAAAAAAGAAAAAAAAACATTACGGAACTAGCTTTTATCAGGATGACAAACAACAGTTCAGTTGTAAAATTTTTAGCATCGGAAATGTTAGTCTAATCTTTTCTGTTCGCTTTTTGTTGTTGTTGTTGTTGTCGTTGATGATGATGACAGACAGGTAAACTTGTTCCGGATAAATCCAGAACCTAATCTTTTAGTTGTAATCAAAGGTAAAGTGTTTTTTTTCACCAAGTTGGCAGAATAAACCATTGGCCATCATTTTTATCGGGAGAAAAGCAAAAAACGAAAAAAAAAATCAACAGCCAATGTCCTCAGACCAAGATAGAGATAACACAGCATAACAACACCACAAAATATCGTGAAAGATTTTTTTCACCTTTTTTTTGTTGTTGTTGTTTTTTGGTTGAATTTTTTTTTTTGAAAAATTCAAAATGAAATGAACTTTTGCACATGCCGATAGTGCATGTTGTGATGTCCAAAATTCTGAATATCGACCATACACCATACAGTGTAATTTCAAACTGTACGTGATGCACCTAGCAATATTTTTTCTTTGCTATGGATGCTTCCAGAATGTTAGATAATAATGATGATAATAATCACATTCAAGTCCATTGATGTGGTCATTCAGGTTTTTTTTCGTTTGTTTGTTTGTTCATGCTTGGCTTCAAGATTATTATCCATTATAATGACAACGACCCTAATACCCTGAGATTTTTTTCTTTTTAAAAAGAAAAGAAAAAAATATCTTCCATAATAAATTGGCCCAAGACAACAATCTAAATAGCAAAGAAATTTCTCAAATCATATCTATGATTCGTTGTTGTTTTCATGATCATCGATCAAACAATATCAGTTATATGGATAACATTCGATTTCAATATCTTCTAAATTGATAGCAAACAAAATATAAACAAAAAAATTTACTATTTATAAATTCAATGGCCAAGGTTTGTTTACAAAGAAAAAATTAATATTATTTCTAAAAATATTGACATGATGAATGAAATTCACTAATACCGAAAAACAAAAAAGATCAAAGATCAAGAACATTATCATCATCATTATTATCAGTCCATATAGTAGATAACATAAATCTGTTTGTAAAATGAAATGGGACCGGATTTTTGATTCCATCATTTGTTTTTTTTGTTTGTTCGACCGATCAATGTCAACGATAAATAAGTAATGACGTTTTAAATGGAAATCATCAATAAACAAAACCAAAAAATCAAAGATAAATCGCAAATGATTGATTGATTGCAATTATTTTCCAAACATGAACATTCGATTTCTGTTTTTTTCTTTAAATTTAGGTATTTGGGGACTAGAAATTTGCCATTTTTAAAAAATCAAGTACAAACCAAATGATGATGATGATGATGTTCTCCATGTCTATACCATCATCATCATCATCATCAAAGATGCCATGTTCTTGTTGTTAAACTCCTCCTTTTTTTAAAAAAAAAAGAAAATTTTTTTTAAGATGATCAGAATCTACTTACTTATTATCTCTACCCACTACTACCAAGGCCATGATGATGATGAACATCGACTGAGAGGACAAGAAAACGAAACAAAAAAATAAATAAAAAAAATAAAAACCAGACCAGATTAGATCATCAAAGCTATCGATTCTCTTGTGCATAGTTGTGTGTATGATCCGAAACATCATCATCATCAACATCATTGGTATTCGTATATAAATAGCGATTCATTTTTGCCAACTCTTTATATCACAATTTGGCTGATCCCAATTGATATTCATTATCCATTCATTCGATCATCAGTATCATTATCATTGACAATTTTTTTTCTGTTTGTTTGTTTGGTTAGTGATTTCAATTTGATCTGATTCTGATTATACATACTCATCTGTCATTGACCATCAACACAATGAAGTTTGTATATTGTTTCTGTGCTGTTCTTATGATTGGCCTTTCTTCGGGTATGTAAACAAAAAAACGTTGATTATCAAGATGACATCAAGATCTAACTGATTTGTTTGTTTGTTTGTTTGTTTGTCCAAAATTTAGCCGCACCAATTGCTGAACCAAATACTGTGGATAAAGTTTCTGAACCAAAAGATAGTTTAATGACTGGATCAACATCGATTGAAATCAAAGAAGGAAAACCTATTGTTACACTTGAACAAAGAAGTGATGTTATCATTCCAAATGATTCATCAGTTGAAGCAAAAAAAGTCGAAATTGTACCACCAGTCGAAAATGTTCCTAAAGTTTCCGATGCATCCGCCATCATTCCAATTGTTCCTGTTTTAGCAAGTAATATTGTTGCTGATCCTGTTCAAGTGGATAAAATCGCTGAAACATCAGTCGATTCATCAATGAAAGTTGAAGTTGCAATGCCCGAAAAACCAGTCGAACAACCATCATCGGTTATTGCTGAAGAAATTGTACCAAAAGTTGAAAAAGTTGAATCAGTTCCAGTTCAACCGATTGTTCCAGAAATCGTCAAACCAGCTGAACCAGTAGAGGAAACAAAATCTGTTCCAGTTCAAGAACCAGTTTCGGTAGAAAATCAACCAAAAGTTGAATCAGCACCGGTAGAAATTGTTAGTGAAAAAATTGCACAACCAGTCCCAGAAAAAGTAATTGAATCAAGAAGTTTAAAAGAAATTGATGTTCCATCACCAGTTGAATCAGTTCAGCCAGTAATTGCAGAAAAAGTTGAATCAGTTCCAATACCTGTCGAATCAGTACCAGTTGTATCATCAATCGAATCACAACCAATTGTTGCAGATAAAGTTGAAACAGTACCATCACCGGTGGAAAAATCCGTTGAAGTTCAACCATCAGTCGAAGCTGATAAAATGGAAAGCCCAGTAACGATTACTTCTGAACGATCAATCGAATCACAACCAGCTGCATCGGATATGGTCGAAAGTCCAGTATCGGAAAAAATTGAATCTTCTGTTCCGGTAGAAAAATCAATCGAATCTCAGCCAGTAATTTCAGAAAAAGTTGAAAATCCTATCCCAGTTTCCTCAGTCCAAAATGAAATATCTGTAGAATCGCAACCGATTCCAGTTCCATCGGTACCAGTTGAAACACCAGTCGAATCTCAACCAATCCGACCTGAAAATGTTGAAAATTCAATGCCAGTGGCATCAATTTCAGCTGAAACTCCTGTTGAATCACAACCAGTAATCGCTGAAAAAGCCAGCGATGTACCAGTTCAAAATGTACCAACAATTGTTGTTTCTGAATCACAACCAAATATTAGTCCACCAATTGTTGAACCAGTTATCACTGATGTTAAACCAATACCAGAAATTCCTTTAATTCAGGAAACACCAATCGTAGTCGAACCAAAACCAGTTGTTATTATTCCACAAGAACCATCAGTAGCACCAATTGTTGTACCAGAACAATCTGAAAATACAATTGTAGCTAAACCAATGGAAATAGCTGAAGTAATTGCACCCGAACCAATGATTGAATCAATCAAACCACAAATGACATCGGTTGATATTGCAACAACAAATAATCAGCCAATAATTTCGGCTGAACCAAATCAAATTTAATTTTTTTTTTATTTACATTTTCAAAACCTACAATTTTACAAATTTTTCATTTACAAATGCTCAAATTTTTCACTTTTATCAAGTTCTTTATTATTTTGTCATCAATGTAAATCCATATATAATGCAAATTTTTCATAACCTTTAACCAAAAACAAACAAACAAACAAAAATCCCAAAAAATTTCCCATCCTTATTATTCAAAATACTCAAGGGAATCAAACTTTTTTTTTTGAAACACTGGATCAAGTAAAGGAGATTTTAAATTTATTTTTAAAAAAAATATTGGGAATAAACATCATTTCCATCTAGTGATTTTATTTTCAAACGTTTTTTTTCGAAAATTCAAATAATCTAAAAATTTATTTTCTGTTCTTATAAGATCTACACAGGTCTTGATAATGTGGATTTAATTTTAGCATCTGCATTACGTGTGTGTGTTCGCTTGTGTATTTTTGTTTACGGTGGTTCCCACACTTGTTTTGTTGTTCTTATTCGAATAGTTCAGTGATGTGATGATAATGATGATGAGAAAGGTGGATAAAGAAATTACAGATTTTCTTTTTTCATTTTTTTACGAAAGAAAAAACATCGTTCATTGTTAAGCAGTTGTCAAGGACATTTTGTAAATGATTTTTGGCGTAGCTATGGTTACAACCACCACCACCACAACAACAACAACAACAAAATCATTAAGTTGATGATGGACAAACAAACAAAATAGGATGAGGAAATCTTTCTGACATGTCTTTTTTTTTAATTTCATTATTCTGTATTGCCTTGAAAATGGTCGAATAGAATGAATTTTCTTTTTCTTTTTTTCTTCTTCTTTGCTAAATCATAAAGCAAGGTTTTTCAAAGATTCACAATAAAAGTAATGAATGTTGAATAATAAGGAAAATAAAAAACAAAAATATTCATTATTAATTTATGCTTGAAATTTTTATTTTATTCAAACAAATTCTTTCAATTTTTTCTCCCAATCACAATGCAATCATCATGAATAAATTCCTGACGAAAAATCTATCGAATGTCAACGGAAGACAAGAAGAAGAGATCAAAGGCGTTGTTCGAAATCACCATTACAACGATGATTCACATAAATAATTCTTTCGAATGAAACAATGAAACAAAGAAAGAAAAAAATCCATATTATATAACCATTTCCATAGTGATTTATTTATGACAATCAAAGAATAAAGATAACAATTGGGAAATGTTGTTCATTTGATATGATGATGGTGATTGCGTGTCGAAATCCATATCATCATCATCATCATCATCAACGACAATAAGATGAAATTTCAGACTGAAACACACACCATAATAATAATAATAATGTCATGTCAATTTATGAATATCAAACTGGACAATGGATGATTTGCAACAACAACAAAAAAAAATTTATCAATTTTAATCATATTTTATGGGATTTATATATTGTCGAAATGAATGAACTTGTCGACTTGTCGACAACAGCAAACTTTAAAACTTTTCGCCATTTAAGCCAATTTTATTGATCTTTTTTTTGTTGTTTATTTGTTACTTGAGTAACAGAAGAAGAAAAAATCATTAATGACTCCAAGGTGTCGACCCGATTTAAGAAAAAAAAAGAGTTCAATTGTCATTTTTATTTATTTATTTAGATTTGGAAACTATGTGGCAATTTTGTTTCATCTTTTTTTTGACAAGATATGGAATGAATGAATGAATGAATGAAATGGCCTGTATTTCAAAAAATGAATAAGAAAAAAAACAAATTTTTTCCTTGTAAGACTTTTGAATGATGGGCGCTGGTTTTGGTAACCATATTTGATGATAAAAACCGATAATGTCAATGACATTCAACATTTAGAGTACCCAAAAAAAAAAAATTTAAATAATGAACCTAAATAATGAAAATGATTAACATTAATTTTGAATGGATCAATTGATAATGATCATTTGATAATTGAGAAAAATCGAATCGAAAAGATCGAAAAAAATAAAATGATTTCAAAGCCTATTTCTACTACTGTATGTTTTGTTTGTTTGTTTGTTTGTCTAGATTTTATGATAATTGTATGTACACCGATATTTTACTGATATGCCTGCCGGTGTTAATAACCGCGGACCATATCCGGATATTATTACACACACACACACATACTTAATGTATAAAATTACAATAATGATGATGATGATGATTGGAAAAAAACAGAAGAAATATTTCAGATTTCCATTAACAATTTATTCGGGTCTATGACCTCAATACATATAATGAATGAATGAACGCCCAATCATCAAAAAAAAACAATAAATGGATCGAATGAATCTTTTTTTTTATTGTTGGAACAAACAAACAAACATAGGTAAAATAACAAACAGAAAATATCAAGATTCAAATTGAAAAAACAAAAAAACATTTATTGTTTCTCATCATCATCATCATCATTATCATCGAGAAAAGTTTAGCTCGATGAACCCAAAATGTTCATTATGGTTCGATTACAAACGATACATGCGCATCAATTCATGAATATAAAAAAAACATCATTCTGTTTCCAACAATTATTCTTTTTTGCTGTTGTTGTTGTTGTTGTTGACATCATTCATTTCACACACACACTATATATCATTCGCAAATTTATCTATAGCGAACCAAAGCAAACGATAACCAACCAGTAAATGAGTATAGATAGAAGAAGGGGCCAAACTAAAAAAACTAACACACCATCCATAACTTTTTTATTATCCAAATCATCATCAATGATAATGATAATCATCAACAACATCAATTCCATTTGAGTTTTAAACTTGCTACTACAACACAGACGATTTTCTTTTTCTTCTTTTTTTATTTTCCCGACAACCACAACAACGATCAGTCAGCCAATGTTACGACGATGTATAAATGATGATCTTATGGATCCAGCTATAGTTTGTTATTATTGTTGTATGTATGTGTGTATATTGCTAATAATTTAGCAAAATGGTTTTGAAAAAAATGAATGAATGAATGAAATGAAATGGTTTGTGTGAAATGAGAAAAACGATGGAAATACATTGAAGAAATAAAATAAAAAACATTGGAAAGAGAGAGAGAAAGATCGTTTGTGTAATGTAGGATTGGACAAGTTTTTGTTTAATATTTTCGGTTGCTCGCGTGTTTTTGTTGTTGCAAACGAATGAATATATCCAATATATACAGAGACTAACACAGACACACACTGTATACATAGTGAATATTATCGTCAAATTGAGAGTCTTCGTTTGAAACACACATTGATATTGATGATGTTTGATGCTTGATGGGAAAAAATTGATCAATCGCGAATGATGATGATGATCATCATTTATAATCGAATGATTCGAACTAAAACCTGATGAAACGTATTTTTTTATAATTTGATTATTCAGGTTTTTTTTCTGTTTCTGTTTTATTGTTTTTTAAAATAAATATGATCATCGTTGTTTCTAACCAACCAACCATTTCATATCATAATTGATTGTGATAAAAAATCAATTTTGGTGATTTCAATTCAACTAACCAATCGACTTCAATATCTGTCTACCTTATGGAATATTTTTGTAATTGAATTCTACCGCCATCATTTTATCGAAATCAATTTTTTTTGTAAACACTTAAATCAACGACAAAATGATGATCAAAATTTACAAATAACAACAACAAAAACAAAATCACGAGATCAATCGAAAACAAAAAGGAAAACAACAACAACAACAACAACAACAAAAACATCGAACAAAAACAAATAAAACCGACCTGGTTTTAATGATATTTTCACTTTCAATAGCAAAATAGCAATTATCCACTATCCGTTGTTGTTTTATTTTGTTCCGTTTTATTATATAAATTATGATTATCATAATTCATCAAGCCAAACCATAGTGTTGTTTTCTATTGCATTCATTAAGCTCTAATTTCCATTTTCATTTAAAACCTTTTTTACATTCTCTCGGTGTGTGTAGGTTGTGTGTGGATTCAATTGTTTGTTTTGCAAAGAAACAATAAAAAAAAGATAACAAATAAACAAACAAACAAACAAAAAAGAACATAAAATCAAATGCATTAAACATGCCTACATTAATTGGTCGTTTCAATGAATTGCTACATAATCTTTCCTCATCATCATCAACATCAACATCGAATCATTCATCGGTACCATCATCAACAACAACAACAACAACAAGACAACATCATCCACCATCAAGATCAAGTTCGAATCGTATTGTATCTACTGATAATTCTTCGAAAAGGCAAATTGTAAAACGATCTAGTTCAAGTCGTCCACAACAACAACAATGCAACAAATCAATAACAACAACAAAAACGGTGAATAGTACAAATCATCCACATAATAATAATAATAATCGCCGTCATGGTTCGGTGGTTACGGGTAACAATAGATCTTCTGAACAAGAAAGAGGTATGACCGGTAATCGACATCGGGCTAGTTCTTGTATCAACAATTCTCATCATCATCAACAACAACAACAACCACAGCAACAACATCGTCATCTAAGTCATCATTCTTCATCAAAAACAACAACAACAACAACAAAACCAAAATCATCTTCTCGTGAATCGAATTCGAATTCTAGTAGTGGTGGTGCTGGTGGTGGTAAGCTTCAACAACAAAAATCACATCATCATCATCGAAGACATTCGATTGCTAGCATGTCGAGTATTTCGAATAATAATAATAATAATAACAATAATTCACATCAATCCAATTCAAATTCACCATCAAAAGCAACCAATAATAGTTCGATAACAATGATTAATAACCGTAAAGATTCCAATAGGATTGAAAAGAATAATAACAACAATAACAACAACAACAACAATAATGGCTATAAATCTTGTATAGCTACAAAACCATTAAAATCGATAAATCATAATGATAATGTTATTGTTGATGAATCATTGACAAGTATGTTGGTTCGTAAAATGAAAATTGGTGCCATTACCCGACGAAATCATCAAAATCATCATAACCATAATCAACCAACGACAGAAATTTTTCATAAAAAAATTTCAAAAATTTCAAAAAAAGATGTTGAATCTGATGATTTGATTGATGGTGAAACAAAAGGTTGTTTCATTAATCGTTATCTAGATGGGTATGTACTAATTTTGAAACAAAAAAAAAATAATCCGAATTATCTAATTTGTCATCATTAATCATTCAGATATTTAACAAAAAATCATCCGGATATAATATCGGGAAAAACCTGCTATGATATGCCTATTAAAGAGATTGAATTATTAGAGACAAATATTGTTTCTGCTTGTACTGGTCCAAGTGATGGTCTTCTAACCATTCATTCATCATCAAAACCATTCGAAATTGCATTAGATGATGGTATTGATTTTATTGATGAAGATTATCCTGATTCATCACTTTCATCGAATGGATGTTCAGATCATCATTCATCACCACAAAATTCGGCCAAATTATCCACTTCATCCGATGTTATATCATCAACAGATACTGGTGATGTTATAACATTTTCCGATGTATCTGATAGACAAACTAAATCATCATCATCATCATCATCAAATAATCATGAGACAATAATCATCGAACCTGTTGCTGGTGTCAACAATTGGAATCGATTCGATGATTTTGCTTATGGTATTTCAACTACATTATATGAATCACACCCTTCAACAAAACAAAGAGCCGGTATGTAAAAAATGATGATTATTGTATAAAAATGTCTAAAAATTTCTCATCCAAACAAAACAAAATAACATAGGTGATCCGATTGCCGATTCATATGCAATATGTGTACGAGAAAATAGCGCTATTTTGGCATTAGCCGATGGTGTAAATTGGGGTGAAAAAGCATGTCTAGCATCAAGATGTGCCATACATGGATGTGTTGATTATCTAAACAAAGCATTATATTCAGCTGCAACTGATTCAACTCGATCTCGAAACACCATGGTTAGTTTGATTATTTTTTTTTCTCGAATCGAGGTTTATTTCTTCGATTGAATAAACTAACAAAAACTAAAATTTTCTTTTATCGTTTTCTATTTGAATGAATTCAGGACATATTTATTGCTCTATTACGTTCATTTAATGCTGCACATAATATGATATTAGCACAAGGTGGCCATTTAACAACACTTTGTGCAGGTAAATTATGATGAACAAAATCAAAATCAAAAAAACAAAATAATAATAATAATGATGACATATAAACATTAACCACAATGAAAAAACAAAAACAAAAAATTTAAACCAATTTTGTTTATTTTTCATATTTTCGCCCTACAATTACTATAGCCGTAATTTGTCAATTGAAAGATTCGGATCGTTTTATTGTATGTACTTGTAATGTGGGCGATAGTTTGGCCTATGTTTATAGTAAAAAATATGGTGTTCGAGAAATAACACAAGGTATTTTTTTTTATATATTAAAATCATATAAGATTTTTTTCAAATAAATTTCTCTTTTTTTTAAAAAAAAGGATCACATGATATATTTTCAATGCGTGATATGAGAGATGCATTGGGAGCATTAGGACCTGTATCAGGTTCTGAACCTGAATTAAATAATCTTACAGTTGCAATGACTATTGTTGATGTTGATGATATTGTCTTTCTAACATCGGATGGTATATCGGATAATTTTGATCCTGTTGTGGGAAAATTTGCTATACCAAAAAAAGATTTAACAAAAAATTGTGATGTGAATGATAATCATATGGATGCTAAAATATTGGTCGATAATTCAAGAAAAAATAACAATGATAATGAAACAAATTGTGAAAAAACTAGTTATATGGCTAAACGAATGAAAGGTATGTGAATTGTTTGAATGTAGATTTATTGTTTGTGATTTTTTTTTGTTGTTACTATTTTTTAACTACAAATAACACATTGATTTTTTTTTCTTGTTATTATTTGATAAAATTTACAATAGTAAGAAAACTTGTACAAAGATCAAATAGTAACCCAGAAAAAAGTAGTGCAAAATATCTAAATTATACATCGAAAGGTTTACCATTGGTTTCGGCACAACAACGTCATGAATTGACATTACTTCGTATGGAAGATCTCATTATGAATGGTGTAAATGGAATTTCATCATTTATTCATAATAATGGTGAACATTCATCGAACCATAATAATAATAATAAAAATTCAAAAAATAATAATAATCAAATAACTGCCAAAGATCTCTGTTTATTGATGGTTGATTTCTCAACCAAATTAACAATGGCTAAACGAAGAATACTTGAAGATCCGGATCTTTATACAGATGACGATAATAATGGTAATGATAATGATGGTGATGATGCATTCGATAAACAACGACGAAGAAGACGTATGGTTGGACAGAAATTAGCACAGTTACCTGGCAAATTAGATCATGCATCAATCGCTGCCATTCAAGTTGGATTCTATGGTTCATTAAGAAATAAAAAATCAAATATTTATACAACAAATGATATTAAAACAACACCAATGAACAGACAATTCAATTCAAAGCAGCATTCCTTGGAAGCTCGATATAATCTCAAATTAAAAGCAACATTGGCCAGATTTGAATCACAAGATTCATTGGAAAGCATCACTGAATCTGGTCCTATTTAAACAATTTACCTGTTTTTTTCTCTCAAATCTAGGAATATATTTTGGATTTTTGTTTTTTGAAACATTTATTAGCTAATAATCATGTCCGGTGATGTTTTTTTTTCTGTTCTGTTCATTTTATTCGAATTATGTATTTTTTTTCTAACAAACTTTATAACAACAAAATTTTTAACATTCAAAATAAAATTAATTGATTTGAATTTGACATTTATCATTGATTTTTTTTTGCCAACATAATCCTTTGAGTAATGATTGAAAATGGCAAATGACGTCAAAACATTTGAAAATTTCAAATTTGAATTTAAAATTGTTTATTTTCATTTAATTATATATATTATTAGAAAAATAAAAATAAAATTTTTGTATCATTTAAAATTTTTTTTTAAATATATGATTATATACAAATATATATCTTGAACAGATGATGATGATGAATTCCCCATAATCCCACCATTTTGTTTAAAAAATAAAAACATTGAATCACTGGGTATGTTTATTTATGTGCAAGGCGTTGATTGATTTATTTACAAATTGATTTGAAAACAATTGCTGATGAATGATTTGAAGGAAATAATAGGAAAATTTTTTTTGTTTGTAGATAATAAGCTGCTATAATTTAGGTTTGACTTCTTCGGCAATACCACCCCATTTTAATTTATATGTTCCTGTACGCCAACTAATATCTGGTTCCCATAAAGCTCTTGTAAATAGGACCAATGCGAATGATTCGCGTAACAGCCATGCAATGACAAAATCAATTTTACTGAATGATAATGATGAGTTCTATGTAAAACATTGGTAAAAAAGACAAGAAAATATCACATTATCACATGAAATAAAACCAAAAAAATCAACAATATTACTTGAATGATTGATAAAAGCGTATAATCTAAAAGAAACCACAATAATATATGAAACAAATAAATGGCAAATGGATCGATTTGTATTAAATAGCTGATAGCCCACGAGGCCATTGCACCTAATACAAAACATTCGGACAATGGTTCCAACAATATCATATGTGGTATCATGGCTATCCTTAATTTGGCCCATCTAAATTAATGATAATTTAAATCAATTATAAAACGGAAATTCGAATAAATCAAAAAAAAAACAGACCTTGTAATACGCTTCTGGAACGTTTCAATATCAGATGTATATGAGTTTTGCCATGCTGGCTGTGTACTAATTCTTAATTTATAGCCTCTATAATAAGGAAATGAATAATTTATCTAGAGATATTTCTACAAATCATTTTTTTCTATAATACCTATCAGTGAATGATTTTGCAAAGAAAAAATCTTCGGCTAAATAATTGCCAAATGCGGCAATACCTCCAACTTCTTCAAGTAAATCTTTTCGCATCAATGCAGACATTCCCGTTGGACAGTTGATATTTAGACAATCGGCTGAGAGGTATATACGTGCGTGTGCCGTTCCAAAATAAACCTATCAAAATTAATTAAAGAAGATTATTATTAATAAATTAAATCAACGAAATTTAATAAGGAAATGTTCGATAATTTGAAACGTCTGGACAATGTATGTTTTCGACTTACTTTTTCCAGAACGGCAGGAAATCCTTTTCGATCACAAACGAATGGCATTTGATGGACAAGTGCAACATCTTCTTTCATGGCACATACCATATCTAATAATGTATCATTTTGCACTATTTAGTCGGAGAAAAAAAAATGACATTTAATGACATAAATAATAGATGATCAACTTACTTCGAATACCAGCATCCGAAACAAGTATAAGTTCATATTTCGATGATAAATATGCTGGTTGCATATTATTAATTTTAGGATTAACACCAACTTTAAGGCCACCGATAAATAGACGTGCATCGATTTGTGGATATTTTTGTATTAAATTTTTAACACAAATAATGGCAGCATCTTTTTCATCTTGAACACAGAATAATAGCTCAAACTGTTCGATGGAAAGATAAGAGGAAAAAAAATTGACATTAAATCAAATCCAATCAAATAATCATCATTCAATTACAATTAATCAAATTAGTGTCAATTTCATTATGAAGTTATTGTCATGTCAGAAAAGGAAAACAACAATGATGAGAGGGAAAAATTAAAGATTCCCTTTCAAAATAACAATGATTATCTGGATAACTAACCAACAACAACAAAAAAACCTAAAACTGAATGATTGTCACGATAAAATTATATTTTTCTTTCTTTCACTATATAAAATAGACAATGACTATGAATGATATGTTTTTCCTGTTTTTATTGCTTGCTTGCTTGTATTTGTTTGTTGTTAAATGAATTGTGTGTTAATATAATAATGATAATGATGATGACAATGATGATAATGTTAATGTTTAATGGATACTTACTTTTGGATAATTTAGTTGAAAAAATGTTTCCATATTGGAATAAAGATTTTGATCAATACCAACTAAAGGCTTTATAATGGACACGCCTGGTAATGACATTTCTTTTATTGAATCGGTATCGATTTTTTTATGTAATACTCTTTTGCTATCATTGTTTTTTGTTCGTTTGTTCATATCAGTTTCCAAGTGATGATTATGATTATGTGGAGAGAAAAAAAAGGGGAAAGATAAAAAAGAAAGATAAAAAACAGTATTGATTAATGCATTGATTTTAATATATTTTGTTAGATCGAATAGTCGAATAACAACAATAACAAAAACAAAATTATTATCAGTTATAAGGTGATTACATATCTTTGATAATAACCGAATTTATTCATTCATTCTTTCCTTTTTTCTGTTGCTATTTGAATACCTTGAAATCGTATTATAAGACAAACGTTATTTAGTCATATATAAAACATACACGCACATGCATATACGCCCTATTAAACTCATTCTTTTTTCTCAATATCGATCCGAATTTTGTTGTTGTTCACCAAAAAAAGAAATTAGGCTATAAAATTGATCGAAATTTTTTTTTTATCAAGAAGAAAAAGTTACAAGAAATCTTGTGACATTTAAAACCAGATCTTAATGTGTGTGTGTGTATATCTATCTCGCTCTTTTACTCTTTCTTTTTATTCAGGTGCAGCCAATCAACATGTCGATTTTGATTGAAATTAAAAAAAAACAAAAAGTGATAAACGAAATCATTGTGAAATAAAATAAAATCAATCGAATCGATTAATAGGTCACTAGAACTACAAACCGAAACATATCCCAGGGAACAGAACGAAAAACAAAAAAAAATCAAACTAAACCAAACAAACTTTGACATAAAAAATAGAATAATCATCGAATATTTTTTCCCCCAACACAATGTGGAAAGCTCTACATAAAATACCAGAGAAATATGACCAATTCATCAGGAGAAAGATATTTTTTTAAAAGAGAACGAAAAAAATTCGTTATTCATTTTCAACTAACCAGGCGAAACAAAATGAAAATGATTATAGAGAAAAAAAATCTGTCACTTTTTTTTCTTGATTTGTTCTAAATTTAACACATTTCACACAATGGCTATCGAATTTTGAATTTTTGTTGTCGTCATCGTCATGAATTAACCAATAAATGAATGGTTATTGTCATGAATATTATTGTCCAAAAAAATGAATAACAAAAAGAAAAACCAATCAGAAACAATTCAATACGGTAATGTAACCTTGAAATGATTGAATGAATATTATCATTAGTAATTAGTTGAGGCACTAAATGGAAAAAAAATTTAAACAAACTAACTAATCAAACAAACTATTGATGAATGTCTTTTGTATACAGCTACAAAAAAAATAATGATTTAATATTGAATGAATAAAATGAATTTGAAAAATTCTGCTTACGTCCTTGAAAAAAAAGTTAATGGAACAAAAAGCATCAAGTATTCTTTCCTTTTTAAATTGTTTCATAAATATTTCATCATTATTCAAACACAGACACACACACGCACATAAAGAAATTAAAAAGTTTTCAAATAACATACCCATGAACTAATGCCAAAAAATGCATAAACCAAACAAATGTCCATCCACAAATAATGATGATTGCAATACCGGTTAGTATATAACAGACAGCCTGATGTTCCATAACGATGTTGTTGTTGATTATCATCAATTGTCGTTGATAATCGTGATGATGATAAATCACAACAACAACAACAATAATAAGTTGAACAATTACAACCGATTAATGATGATGATGGTCGCCAGTTTGTTCCGGTTAATATTGATGACCATTTGTTGTATATAAAATAATCGATATTTTTACATTGATCAATGATGATGATGAGTATGATGATGAGTAGAATGATGGCAATGGTCAATAAGAATCGATAGTTATTAACTAAAACGATAATATAATGATGACAGTCCATGCATCTATATTTATTTATTTTTTTGAAGAATAAAGAAAAGAAAGGAAAAATTTAAAATTGGATATTATAAAGTTTTTGTTGACAATTTCATTAACAAACAAACAAAAAAAAATCATCATTATTATCTTCTTTTCCAGTAAAATAAAAAATCAACAACAGACAACAAATACAAACAAATACAAACATAAATTGTAGAAGATGAAATCATGCATGATTAATATTACGTGATTGGAGAAAAAAACACTTTGATTGTGATTATCAAAACAATCAGAACAAACAATCATTTAGTGGCAAAAAATACTACTGCTACTGATGATGACAATAATAAGGTATTTTTGATAAAAAAGGTCGTTGATCATGACGGTCATTCAATCATTTGTAATTTTTTTTTTCTAAAAAAAATTTCAAAGCAAAGGATGTTCAGAACAACAACAAAAAATATACATTCAGTGTAAATACAACAGGATATAAACATTTTCCAATGAATGTCAAAACAACAACAAATCGTATCGATTAACAAATGTTTTCACAAAAAAAACAAAAAATCTATTTGCAATGATTTTGTCTATTTTCATGTTTAAATCAAATTATTTAACAACAACAAGATTGATATGTATCCTATTTCAATTGAAACATTCATCATCAATTTTTTTGCTTCTTAATTAGAAAATTTATGTCTTGTCATCAAACATTTGATATCGATTATATTTTATTTTTTCACGCCATTTTTCTTTTTTCACATACACAAAAACACACAAACACAAACACAATTGATGTGTATTTAAAATTTAAAATAGGATTGGCTTCGCGGGCAATTCTTTTTTCTCTCTTACACCTCTAATTACTAGATTGGTTAATTATCATATTATCACCGGTTTCAATAATAATACAGTGAGGAAAAAAAAGCCACCAATGTCTTGACATCATTATATTTTCGTTTCTGTCATTTCATTTGAATTTAACATTAACCAAAAAAAAAAATTGTAATATTTTCTGTCGCATTCCATTCATATAACAAACAAAAAAACAATGATAGTTTTGATATTTGTAACCCAATAATTTCAAGAGTCACAAAACATCATCATCATCATCATTTAATAATTATAGTTCAACATGTATAATACTAAAAATTACTTGGAAAAGAAAACATTGCATGAAAACAGACAATAGCAATATATTTATAATTTTAAAAAAATCCTTTCGTTTTTTTAAATATTAAAATAACTCATTATCAAATTCTAATCAAGTACACTTGATTAGAATTGTCGCAGAAAATATTTATCATCAGCAAAAAATATTGATGAAACTTTGTTTTGCAATCAGAAATCAATCCGGATTTCTTCACGATTGAATAATCATCGATTCACATTCCTATTTTATATATAATAAATATATCGAGTGGAAAAACAACAGCAAAATGTTCATCTTTAATATTCAGTTTGTTTGTCATTTACTGTCATCATCAAAGACGAACAGAACATATTAAAAACAAAAAACAAAAATTGAACAGAACAGACATTTGATGATGATGATGATGAAGATAAAGTCATAAATGATATTGGTTGACAGTATAACAGTATAACTTAATTTTCATCATCATCATCATCAGTGACAAATCAAAGACAAATATAACAACATATCAAACAAACTGTATATTTCTATCTTTATTTTGATAATGAAATCGAAATCTATAATCGAATCATTTTATTTTTGTTGTTGTTGTTGTTTTTCTTTGTGTAGGTGGTGGTGGGGGTGGTGGGAGGAAGCAAATTTATTTTTCATTGTCAATCGAAGATTGATTGATTGATTGATATTGTTATTTGAAAAAACCAATTCAATGTTTTGAAAAACAAAACAAAATAATTTTATCAATCAAAACCATGAAATTGAAAAAAAAGAAAACAAAAAACAAAAACAAATCGCTAATCAATGGATTGGAAACAAACAAACAAACAAACATACCTCATTTCTCTTTTCAAATTGAATAAATGATTAGATAAAATGTTGAATAATAATGTTCAGTATGTACAGTTGTGTAATGGCATGATTTTGAGGATAAACAAAATTTAAAAAAAAAATCATTGACACCCACACATATACGATGAATCATATTGAAATAGTAAAAAAAAAGAAACAGAAAAAATTTAATCAATTTTAAAATTTTATACCGGAATTTTTTTGTTTTGTCTTTATTATCAATTCAATTTACCCATAAATGGATAATGTTGCTGGATGATTCGAGCTTTGTGAGATTCGAATCGTCGACAAAGACGACTACGACGACGACGACGATGATGATGATGATGATGAACAAAGAAACATTCGAATTCGAATTCGAATTTTATTTTTTCTTCGCTGACAAATTATTTTCGTTCGTTTTTTTCACATGTTTAATTTACAAAAATAAAAATAATGAATTTGTTCGATGGAAAATTAAAAAAAGAAAAAGAAAAAGAAATAATGATTTTGATGGTGATTTGCATATATGCGTTGAGAATTTTTTGTTACATTAAAAAATAAATAATAAATATTTGGAATGAAAATGAACTGAATCTACAATTGATTGATTGATTCGTTTGTCAATTTTGGTTGTTGTTGTTTAGTTTATCTTGAAAATTATTATTATATAATATCAAGTTCAATCGATCGATCATTCAAAATCAAATAATAATAAAGTAGAATTGGACATCCGATAAATTTCAAGGCAACAGTATTACAATTGAATATATAATATATATGTAAATGAATCTAGAAATGTAGAGAAAGAAATATATTCGTCAAAAACAAATAAAAGAAAATTATCGATGATCAATATTCGATGAAAATATAATAACCAAAATTTCAATTAGAAAATTATCACATCATAGTTATTTTTGAGTATAAAGAATCTGATGAGAATGATGAGGAATGATGATTCATTTGTTGCAATGTTTTCTAATAACAACAACACCCAATTGATAAACAACCAAACAAACAAACAATTTTAGTTATTGATAGGATAGGATGATTGCATTTGATTGATAATTTAGATGGTGGAAAAAAATATACACCATTAAGATTGTTATGATTTGTGGGCGACAAGGTCCTCCCACCACATTCAACAAAAAAAAAGAATCAAAATCAAATCAGGTGTACATGATGATGATTATTATGATGCGGATGGCGACAGGTTATAAAAAAAAGAAAATTGGTTTTATTAGTTCTTACTTCACAAGTGATAATTAATTTTCTTGTAGGAAAATTTCTTTGTGTTAATGAATGTTTAAAAAATTTTATTGTCTTTTTTTTGTAATGATGCTGATTGAAAAATTATTTTTTTTTTACTTGAAAACTTCAATATCATCGTCATTCATGGTTGATGGTTGTTGTTGTTTAGAGGAAAAGAAACAGTCAATGATCAATGATGTTATGCTGACGACAATGATGATGATGAAAAAATTTTACAATCTGCAAAAAACTGATACATACACATTGGAGGATGAAGCGGCGTGTTTTTTTTTCTTTCCTTTTTCTCACTTTCTTTCAATCATCAATTTTCGTTGTGTGTATATATTCTGGGCACACTATGTGTTAATGGCGCGATTATAATTATACATCGTGCCCGGGATTATTATTATTTTCTTTTTGTTGCCCGTATACGATAATAATCAGAATAATAAATTATGGATCCATACGCCGACAATAATAATAATAATAATAACGTTGACGACCACGACCACGACGACGACGATGAAGAAGACAAAACAAAAAAATGAATTGAATGGTGAATATTTTTCAACAAAGCAGTAGCAGTAGCATCAAATTATTATATATGAAAATAGGAATAGAAAATATAAAAAGAATTGTCACTTTCACTTAGAATAATTAGACTATACAAGTAATATAATATATATTATCAGCGCATGGCATTATCAAATGGTTTTGATGATCATGATGATGATGATGATGAAGATGAGTATTTCGGTATCGGCCAAAAGTATATATATCGATATAATGAAGAAGATGATGATGAAAATGAAGAATGAAGAATGAAATGATTTTCTTCTTCTACTTCTTCTATTTGTTGTTTGCAAAAAGACAAGTTGTGATCATTATTATTTTTATTGACTAAAAAAAAATATTTGTTGGATATATATGATGATAATGGTTGCGACAAACACAATGATAACTTTCGAATGAATTGAAATGAAATGTAGAAAAAAGTAGAGGAACTTTATTCGAATCGTTATGATTACGTACAGGATTGATCAAAAGGTAATGGTCACAATTGTATAAATAATTCTTGAATGTCATTACTATTATTAATGCCACTAGTAAACTCTGTTTTCCTTGTGTCCATTCTGTGGTTATTCATTTTATTCTGAATCATCATTTCCTCTGTTATTGTCCTTCTTATTTCTGTGTGTATATTCATTAAAACGTAAAACAATTCAATTGAAGCCATTACACAAAATGATAAATAGAAATTATTTTTATTTCATTTTTATTGACTACTACCATTACTACCGCTACTACTACAGTATTTCCTTGGATACTATTTGCTGCTACTATTTTTTATTTTGAAAAAAAATTGAGAAAAAAAAACAGCCAGAATTTTATTCCGGTATTTTCAACAAAAGACGCGCCGCATCAAAAAAAATTAATCGAAGAATCATAATTTTGATTTTATCAAATCAAATTAAATTTTTATTGATCAATCAATTCAACAACAACTAATCCATTTTTGACAATAAACATTAATTATTAATTTAATAGAAAACAATCAAACAATTTGTGTGATTAGGATGTTATTTTAACAAACAAATCGATAACACACACTTATGTGGATTACCTGGTCTTTCTTTCTCTTTTTTATGCGATGATAACAGAAATATTAATAATAATAATAATAAATTACATAAAACAAACAAACAGAGAAAAAAAAATGATAAAAATATGTATTAGATATGGTGAGAACACAAATCAATCAAAAAATCAAATCAAATCAATAATGATAACTAACATAATATTTTACCATAGTTTAATGACATTGGTAAACCAATATATGATGCTAATGAACTAAGCCATGTGATTAAATATGTACAATGTTGATCTTCATTTGTTGTTGGTGATGATGATGACTGTTGTTGACAATTATCATCATCGAAAATCGATTGTGAATCATGTTGATTCAAACAACAATGTTTACATGAAAGTACTTGTCCCATCAATGTTGTTGTTTGACATGGATGTATCATGAATACAATATGACCAAATATTGGATGATTCTTTTTGTTGTTGTTTGACAATACCGAAAGACCGGAAACAAAACAAAACAAAAAATATTGTAATTGAAAAACAAATTGTTTTTAAAACATTCAAAAAAAAAAAATATATTTACCGTTTGTGTTATTATACGGCCAAATGATTGATAAATTTCATCAATGTTAATGTTGTTTTTTTGTTGATTTTTTGAATGAAAATTTGGTAAACGATTCCATAACCATTCTAATGAAACTGATCTGCCATCTGTATTTTTTTATTTTTAGCCAGAAAAAAACAAAAAACGATGAAAAACCAAAAGTGTTAATGTTTTTTGCTTTTGTTCATATTTTATTCAAAAAAAAAACAAACCTTGATCACAGATGTAAAAATATAGAACAGGTGCTTGATAATTAACATTGAAAATAATATGATATTCAAATTTATACAATGTACGATTATTTGATGTTGATTTAATAGTGATGGTATCATTATCATGATCATCACCACATAATGGTTGATCATCACCGAGCCACCTGTAGAGTGTTTTACAAAGAAAAAATTGCTGCTGTTCTTCATCGTTTTCTTTTATTAAGGATGTCTAATAACAAAACATTTTTTGACAATAAGAGGAACAAAATGAAAGGAAAAAAACTAGATTAGTTCGTTGGTGACGAAAACATAGAATGTGCATAAGAAAGTTTAAATTCAAAAGGATGATAATGATAATTTTTCAAATCATTTTGATAAACGTTTCCAAATTAAAATTTTTGGTCCAAATACTAAATGTTGAACAATTTGAAATTTAGGTAGATATTCTTTACAATACATTTTAAAAAGACCACTATTAATTTTTGACCAATCTTGTACACCACTTATATTCCATAATTGATTTGAATGTTCAGCAAATGGACCTTTTTTCACCTGATGTATAAAATTTACAGCTGAATGAAAAATATATTCATTTTGATATTGATTGGCAATATTTGCCTGTGGAAATGAACCTGGATCAATAGTAGGATGATCAATCAGTTGTGCTGAACCAAAATAAAATGGTAAAAATTGAAAATCATCCAATGAAAAAACACCATGTGAACCGGCCGGTTCAAGACAATAACGTAACTGTATTTTTCGTACTAAGGGCATATAAGTTAATGCAAAAATATTCAATAATTGATGACTAAATGATTGAAAAATCTGTCGTGATAATGTTTCACCATCAGATTTTTCAAGTGCATTTGGTATTAAAACAAGTTTATAGATGCCCATCAAGAATATAATGAAACACATTTCATGTCCAGTTCCATAATCGATTCGAACTTTATTACCAAATGAATCGGCCAGATAATATGATAATTCTGAACCATATTCATGACCAAAAATATTGACTAATTCATTACGAATATTTGATAACATTTCATCAAACCATATACGATAAGCTTTATTACCGAATCTAATGACAATGAACAAAAAAAACAATGCCAAACTATGAACAACAATGAATGATTAAAAAAAATGAAGCTAACCTTTGATTTTTATCATCATTAATCGGTTCAATTTGATCACAAAGTTCACCAAGATTATCAAGTAATCTTATTACATTACAAAGATATTCATCATTAACTTCATCACGTGATTGAAATTTTCGATTATGTACACCTTTGGCAAATTCATTTAATAATTTAATGAAATTTAAATAATCACGATATGCTTCCGAATGAATCCACATTTCCATATCGGTTGCATTCAATATACGACGATAACATTTTGTTTCTATATTATCATCATCTTCATCATCATTTGATTTTGGTTCATTTAAGATCGGATTATCAACTCCATCATCATCATCATCATCATTATTTTGATTAAAATCACCTTCAGAATTCATCATTATCATCAACAACAATTTTTCTTGATTCAATTCAATCAATAACAATCAAATGGCAGTTGAGAGAATTGAAAATATAAGTGAGCATGAAACTTATCAGCTGATTTGAATTCTTAAAAATTGATGGAAACAAAATTCCAATCTAAATCATTAGATGTCGCTATAGATTGATTTATTTGACAGAAAATGAAGTGGAAATTCCTACATCCGTTTGAATTTTTCACAACAAAATCCACCCAGATGAATTTTGTTTTTTTTTTGTTTAACAATTTTTTTTCAAAAACAATAAACAAACAGAAAATTGACAACCTTCAATTATCGATGCGACAAATAAAACAAAAAAAAAGGTGAGTCGCATCATTCGATTGCAATGAAAAAATTCATCATTGAAAGAAAGAGTTATCATCCATTAACATTCAATGATAATTATTGTTTTCTTTTCAACGGTAAAAACCATTTTGAAAAGCGAAAAAAAACGTTTTTTAAAATTTAAAAAAAATCCACGTGCCCAAAATATTATACGCATGTGTTTATTGATTCTGTAGAAATTCCTGATCATCTTTTTTTTCTGTTTTTTTCCGAATTTCTTTTGTCAACGCGTCTTAGCTATTGACCAATATCTTATTCATAAATAAATATATTCGAATCAAAATTTGGAATACAAAGTGATCAATCCTGTTTTAATCTAAAAAATCATATAGCGGCGCCTATAGAAAGAAAACAAGAATGACAGAGAAGATGAAAAAAAACCATTCAACCAAACCATGCAAGAAAAAAAACTGAATTCAAAACCAAATAAAAAAATCCAAAATAATATTCAACACAAAAGCAATATTATGGGACCGAAGACGAAGAAAAAAATATATTCAAGTGAAAAAAAATAACCAAAAGAATAATTTCCGATAGAATGAGAATAACAGTGTAAAGTGAAAAAAAAAGAAAAAAAAACACACAACCATAGGTGATCCTATCTTGTGCTCTCATACACAAAGAGAAAAAATAAAATTCTACCGATTCTGGAACCTATAAGCGGATTTATCGCAAAACTATCAAGAATAAAGAAAAAGAATCCTAAGGGTGGTGGTGGTAGTGGTATCCCATACACACCACTACATTATATACACAGGAATAATGACTTGTGTAATTCGACAAAACAAAAAATGACATACGTATGAATCCACCAAAAAAAAAACAAAACTATCACTGAAAAAATAGCCACAACCTTACCATCATCATCATTATCATTGAAACCATGATGATGATCATCATCATTTTCGCTTGCCCTCCCTGATTCCTATGAATTCGAATCGAATAAAATAGAAAAAAACAACTTGAAAATGGATTCGTCCACCAGCCAACCGGCCAACCTCCCGAACCAACCACCACCACCAAACGAATCGAACCGAAATAATATTGACAGAAAAAAAAAGCTGCTCAGTGAATGAAAAAATAAAAAAACCAGCCAACAACTGGTTTTTAGCTTTTTTTCTCTCTCTCATCATCATCATCAACGTTACAGAAAAAAAAATTACACAAAAAAAACACGAATAAAAGCGAATATGATTGTGTGGAGTGGTGATTTCTAACCAGAAAAAAAAATTACAGACAAACACCAACATCATTACAAATGATCGAAAATTCTTTCATCCAATATACAGATATCTCTAATATAGTCTAAAGTGAAAGAAAAAAAAATTTGGCGCGCAATAAAGTGGTTCAATATAGTTTACTGTTCTTGTTGTTGTTGGTTTTCTGGTTTATGATGATGATGATGACGGTGGTGGTGATGATTTTATATGATCACACCGTGTTTTTTTTAGGCATGATATATGCGATACTAACCCATAATCATTGGTTAACAATGGACCATTCCAATAGATTTTTGTTTTGTTTTGTGCTGTTGTTTTTCTCTCATTCATTCATTCATTCATCGTTTCGACATTTTAATATTTTTTTGTTTTGTTTTGTTTGGTTTGGTTTGTTGTTCTTTCTTTCACACTAATGGAATCGGTGGAGTCGATCCAATGGATATACAGTGAAAACTCGAATAAAATTCTTATAAGCTAAATTTGTACTGGAAAACCGGATGGATTATTCCGAATAATATTCCAAAATTTTGCTTTAAACATTTAAAAAAATAGATTTCTATCACAAATCAAATTCTTGAGAATCTGTAATATGAATCTTTGGAACAAAAGATAATTTTTTTTTTGAATTATACAAATATTTGATACTGAAAGTGTTCCTTTTTTTTATCATCAACAACCACTATATCAGGAATACAGTGGTAAGAGGTGCAGCAGCAGCAGCAGCAGAAAGCTTGATTGTTTTTTCATCCTTGTTGGCAATCTCTCTCTCGACTATTTTTTTAATGTTATCCAAAAAAAAACAACACACTTTTGCGATTCACCAAAGAAAAAAAAATAGGAAAAAGAAAACGGAGATCCTCTCTCCCTCGGTTATTTTTTTTCATTTACAAATACGCATGTGTCAAAAAAAATAATGATGCTACCGCCATTGTCGCTTTGATAGCTATTTTTTTCTGTCATCTTTTTATCGATTGTGCGATTCAACAAAAAAAAATTGCAAGCGCATATATCCTATAGGATCTGGTTGAACCGAACTCCAAAATAACCAAATACACAAACACACACAAACCAAACATATTCGCATATAATATGGCATTTTAGTATGCTCTCATTACAACAACAACAACGATGGCATGGATACGCGTTTATTTCACAAAGGCAAATAACTTGAATATAAAAAAAACCTACAATTTGAGAAAATGTCAGAATCAAGAGTATTTTGTGAAGCAGTCGCTCTCTCATCTTGTTTCGTTTTGTTCATTTCTCATCTTCATCATCACACACATTACACAACAAAACGAAGAGATCTTTACATCTAAATCCAAAAAAAAAAAATAAGAATGATCGGTCGATCACCAAAGCGCAAGTTCAAATCAAAAAAAAAATATTACAATACAGAGGCCATATAAACCATTCGGCCAAACAAAAAAAATAGAGAGTGTGTATTTTAAATGGAAAAATATTTCAGAATATTCTATACACGAATGGAAAAATTCTGAAAAAAAATTCCATTAATTTCACATACCACTACTTTAATCTGTAAATCTATATTATTCGATACTACTACAACTATTGTATTATGATAAGTTTTTTCAACTAAAATCAATACTACTACCACATACACACATATAAAAAGGATTCAACCCAGGATAACATGAAAAAAATATTATAAGGATAATAACCATGTTCCACATGTTCGAACACAATGGAATCAACCACCACCACTACCACTATTCCTGATAATTCAATGATCATAGCAGAAACATAAATACCACTACTATTATTCTATTCTATTTTGTTTTTGTTCCTTCTGGAACCACTATATCAATATTATACATCTATCCTATTATTCTCTCTGTTTTTTTTCCATCATCATGATCCATTGGTTATTATGGCCACCACATAACCACTACTACTACCGAAACCAAAAGAGAAAATGATAGCAAAAAAATAAGATTCACGCAAATGCGAATCTACCGAATACATACACTTTTTTTACTGTAAACCAAACAAGAGATAGAGAGAACGAGAGAAAAAAAATACAATTTTTACAATACGAAAAAAAACCGACACATATACATACACACAGACAGTATACCCATACAGAAACAATACAATACAAGTGAAAAAAAACGATACGAACCGAAAATCCCGATTCGGATTCTTGAAACAAAATTATTCAATACAAACATACACACACACACACAAAGAATAAAATATACCAATCTTCACAAACACATTCGCATACATAAAGATAAAGCAAAAAAAAAAGAAAGAATAATAATGTTCTATTGCTGCTGGTGGTAATGTTTTTGTGTGTGTGTTTGTGTTTGTATTTGTTCCAATCCAAAACCGAGTTAAAAGTTGTTTGTATTATTTATGTGTGTATATTCTGAAAAATTCATTGATTCACAATAGTGTAAGTGTTTGGATGACAAAATAATAATATTTCAAAAAAAAAAAAAAATTCTTCACAAAATAAACCACAATATCTATTTCATTTATAATCAACATTCATATCTCGACTACTCCATTCAAAAAAATAATAATAAAGTGAAAGAATTTTTCTACGATTTGACATATAACTTACCGATGACAATTGACAATCATCAATAGTATTCGAATTCATCTTCATCATCATTTTGTTTGAAATGATAAACTTTTTTAACCACGTTGTTTCATCTTGACATTTTTGTTGTTGTTGTTTGTTTGAACAGTATTGATTTTGACATTGTTCATCATCATTAAAGTGAATTTTTTTCGAAATTCTTACCAAAGTATCAGCTGATAGTGAAAATTCTGACCATTTTATTGGTCTTTTCATTATTGTTGTTGTTTTCACCATTATTGTTTTTGTTGTTTCAATTGTTTTTGTTGTTGTTTCTGTTGTTGATATTTCATCATTATCATCATCAATTTTGTTTGATATTTCATCTTGATCTGTTATTTGATTCTATAATTCAAAGAAAAACAAAAAATCATCAATTCAACAACACGTTCTTCATTTTAAAATCTTTCAACAAACATTTCATCATTACTGAACACTAATAAAAATTCAAAATATTCGAATACAACAAACAGATCTTATAACTTTTTTTTCAACTTTTTTATTTATTTTAATGGATTTTATTTATTTATAAAATTAATGACAGGTAAATGAATGATGAATAAACCAACTTACCATTTTTAAATTTTCTTTTTTTTTTTTGATTGTTTTGATTCTTCTTCTTCGATTGATTATTTTAAAAATTTAATTTTTTAAAAAAAAACTGAAGTTTACAAACAAGACAATTTCCAAATTACGAATGTGTGAATGGAAAAAATAACTGAATGACAATCAGTCGAATACATTCGATTTGATGTACGCATACTCGTTAATCACAATGAATACATTCATAGATGACATGTTTTTGAAAATTCAAATTTTCTTTTAAAATCATTTTAAGAAAGTTGAAAAGAATTTCTCGAAGATTTTCTAAAATATCTTTTTTGGATTTCAAATCAATTTTGATTTTCCTTTCCTTTTCCTTCAATAATTAGTTCAAGTTCAAGAACAAAACGAAAAAAAACATTTATCAAATTTCCATTTCCGGATTTTCTAATTCCATTCAATGATGATAGATTTTTGTTTTGTTTTTGTTTTCCCTCTCTCAATCGCAGTATATTTGATTGATTATTGACTATAACCTAGTAAAAGAAAAAAAAAATGACAAACAAAAAAAATTCCAAAAACGAAAAACAATTGCTATTTATAAGCCGAGGAAAAAAAAACAAAATACCATAGTAACAAGTGTGTCATATTTTTCTGTTTCTGGTTTTGGTGTTCTTGATTTTCGTCATCATCCAACAATCAAACCAAAACCAAATCAACGAATAAATTAAACAATCGTCATTGATTTGGATTTTGTTTTTTGTTTTTGTTTTGTCTCTTCTATTTTAACCCAATTGGTTGATGATGAATGATTTGTGATAACAATTTTTTGTTGTTGTTATTGGTTAGTTTCGGCTTTTAAAATTAATCATTGCCATCAATTCTAGTGAAATTTTTTTCTTTTTTTGGTTATGATTCCTGTGTATTCATCATCTACTACCGTCATCATCATCGTGATCAGTGATTAAATCGTTGTCATCGTCACCATTATCGTTTCTGTTTTTTTTGTTGATGGAAATCATTGTCATCATTCAACAACTATTTAGATAGACAAAACCAAAACAAACAGAAGCTTACCTTCTTCTTCTTGTTGTTGTTATTATTGCAGATCAACGACATAGAAATTTAATTGATTATTAACAAAAAAACTTGATAAAATGATGGTGATCATCATTAAAAATCAAAAACCAACCAACCTGAGGATCATCATCATTTAAATTATTTCCTTTGCATTTTTCGGTTCCAAATTGATTTCGAATCGAAACAATTTTTTGTTTTTTTAAATTTTCATAAATTAATCTGGTGATTTTTTGCTTTTCTCTTTCGTTTACCGTTAAATGTTTTCAAAATAAAGCCAAACGTTAAGGTCATGTATGCCAAGGGGAAAGGCACGACCGTTCCTTCTGATGCCCAGGCGCGTGAAAAGTAAGTAACGAATATTCTTTTCTTTTGTTTTTACGGAAAAAGATTTTTAAAAATTTCTAATTTTATTTTCTTTTTAAAACACAGGTTAGCACTCTACGTATACGAATATTTACTACACGTGGGAGCTCAAAAAGCTGCGCAAACTTTTTTATCAGAGGTTAGTTTTGAAAACCTGAAAGCTATAATTTTTAATTAAAACTTTAATTTCTAATTTTTATGAATTTTTTTTTCATTTTTCATTTCCAAAAATCAAAAGATACGATGGGAAAAAAATATAACATTAGGCGAACCGCCTGGATTTTTACATTCTTGGTGGTGGTAAGTTATATCAGCTTGAAAAATCCAAGTCACATTTCGTTATGATTCAAATTTTCTTCTTCTCTTCCCCCACACCTATAGTGTTTTCTGGGATCTTTATTGTGCAGCTCCCGAACGGCGTGATACTTGTGAACACTCTAGTGAAGCCAAAGCTTTTCATGATTATGTAAGTTCTTGTTCTTGTTTTTTCGTTAATTGTTTTGTTTTGTTTTGTTTTGTTTGGTTCATTTGATTTTACCTTGAATTTTTTTGGTTGTCATTTTTTGCAAATATGAACAACAACAGTGTGTTGACAACATTTACATTTTTTTAAGGGAAAAATTTTGTTTTTCAAACGAAAAAATGTTTCATAAAAACATGTTTGTATAAGGAACCAGAAATAAATATCATTCATTTCATTTCCATATCCACTTCTTTTACATCATCATCATCATAAATACCGTTGGAAAGAAATTTCCCCATTCCATTGAATAAACGTAGATGCATTAACGAAAATGGAAATAGCAAAAAACTGGCGCGCGCATTTACAATTTAAACTTTTCGCTGAGGGCCCCATGTTTTTCATTGGTTTTTTGTTTGATTTAGAATTGTATAGTCTGTTTGCGTACGATATTTTTTTTTTTTTTTTTTTTTTTTGGGAAAAAACCTTTTTTTTGGTTTTTTTTTTTTTTTTTTTTGGGTTTTTTTTTTTTTTTTTTTTTTTTTTTTTTTTTTTTTTTTTTTGATGGTAGAATACCTTATTTCTGGTTGTTTTTTCTGTATGATTGTGGTTTCTTTCTTTCTTTTTTTTTGTTGCTGTGTGTGTAGAATCCAAGAATCCAGGTTGTTGTTGCTAATGCCTGCCAGGATCAAAGTTGGCCTCTCTCTTTTGATGATGATGATAAGGTCCAAAAATTTTGCATTAATTTTTTTTTTTGATTGCTAAAATTAAATGAATAAAATCAGAATCAATAAATTCTGTAATAACCAGGAAAAGAAATCGATGAATATCATTTACACGCACACACACCTGTAAATCCTGAATATTCTTTCTTTTAAATGATTTTTTTTTAATTTGGATTTTAATTAAATTGAAATACCGTTATTCTTTTGTTAAAATTTGTGTTTCACACACACACATGCCGGATACCTTTTCAAAAAAAAAAACATTACCCTTTTATCTTTGCATCCTATTTTTGAATATCTTTGTTCATTTTTTTCCCTTTTCTTACTATCTATCTATATGCTATTCTTGTTTCTTCTTATTTTATTTCATCTTGATTATTATTTCAATCAATAGGGATTTGTCAATTCGGGATATACTGTCAATGGAATTGCTGGCCATGTAAGTTTTTTCCTTACTTTCTTTCTTTCTTTCGGTGTTTCTATTCACAATTTTACTTTGCTTTAAATCAATTCTTTTTTTGATGTTTTTCCTTTATTCAACTCAACTTGTGTTTAATATGTTATCATTTTTTTTCAGTTTATAAATCAGTTAGGTTAAAATAGCCGGTTAAAAAAAATATTGGATATTGTTGTTGAATTTTTTACAACAATTTATTCATCCGTAGCAAAAACGATGAACCCCTGATATATTCAGGTTAAATTCTTTATTTGTTTGTTTGGTGATAATGGTCACGACCTTTGTTCTTCGTTTTTTTTTCATCTTGGGTCATAGTTTTTATTTGAACTCTGATAGCCGATAATAACAACAACAAGTTAAAACCATTATTTGTATAGATTACCTGAAAATAAATGATGGAAAAAAACAACAAATTCAACCAGCCAGCCAGTCAGTCAAATATACAACAATAACCTGAAAGACTTGTTTTTTTTTCTTCCTATTTTAACTCAAATGAACAAAAAACCTTTTTTTTCATCTTTATTTCTGGCGGTTTGGCCGAGATGTGTTGTTGTTCACAACAACTCTTGCTTACTTATTTTTTCCCTTTATCTCTGTTATTGTGTCTCCTGTAGGATTCTCTTCTTTTTCTTTCCTATTTCAAGAAGCGACAATTATTATTATTATCACAATGATGATGATGATCGCTTTATTCGTTAGCTTCTGTGTCTTTTTTTGTTGGTATAACGTTTTTTTTTCAAAAGATAAAACATCTCCTCGATATGAGATGGGTTTTTGGATTTTTTTTTCTTTACTTTTGGTGATAATTATATGAATGGTTCATTGATAGGAAAATTTAGAAACAAAAATGACATTGGACATTTGTTGTTTCAGTATATAACAAATGATCGACCTATACCGGTATTTTATTTTTTTCGCTTACCGGTCGTTCATTAACCCTTTTTTTTGGAAAATGATCGACTTTAGCATGAATTTGTAAACATATAAACAACATCATTATAATGGAAAGATAATGAGAAACAAAAACAAAACAAAAAATGTTGATTAAGTTGAACTAATTTTTGCTTAGACAAAGCGTTACTGCTTGTAGTTTTTTGTTTGTTTGATACCCTTATCATTAGTTATTATGGTTATAACAAATTCAGAATTTTGAAAAATTTTTGTTTCAATAAAAATTGATTTGTATTTGATGTTCAAATGATTTATTTTAAAAAATTAATAGAATCCAACAGCACCAAGTCCACTAAATCAAATACCAACAAATGAAGGAATGCCCGGTGGACCAATGCCTCCAGCAGGCTTTTTTACGGTAAATTTGATTTTTTTTCCCTTGTTTTTCATTTAAATTAATCTGAATTTTTTTTAATTTGAAAATTAACCTTTTAGAATTCACATATGCGACCTTCGCCACCACAACAACCTGTATCACAGCCGTCCCCACATTCTCAACCACCACCACCACCACCTCCACATAGTCAAATGATGCAAAATCAATTTATGTCTCCAAGATATCCACCCGGTGGTCCAAGAGGACCAGGTGGTGTTCGTATGCCTCAACAAGTGGATTTTAATGTAATTTTTGTTTTTTTTTTAATTGAAATAAAAAAAAATCTAATCGAAAATCTTCATTATTCTAGCCATCTGGAGGTGTACCCGGACAGCCTTTGATGCCGAACAATATGGATCCATCAAGACAAGGTAAACAATCGATTAATTTTGTTTTTGTAAAATCCAAAAATATTGCACGTCTTTTTTTTCCCCCATAATCATCATCATTGTTGTTGTAACTTGTCTGTTTTATTTGTATTGTAATTTTTTGTTTTTATTTTTTGTAAAATCTCTTTTTCCATTCTTTCATTTCCTTTTGTTCCAAAAAAACAACAACAATATAATAAAGGTGAAGGTGATTTTGTTGGTTGGCAACCAGGTAAATTTCCTTTTTTCATTCATTATATAGATGTTTTGAAAGTTTTTACATTCGATTTATCTAATGATTTTTTTAATCTTTCTTTTATTTTATATTTCATTGGAAATTATTCAAGGTCCCGGTGGTATGAATTCAATGAATCCTCGCCTAAATCACCCTAGAGGTCAACCAATGGGTCCAATGGCACCAGGTGGATATGGAGGAATGAGACCACCACCTAGCTCAATGGGTCCTGGACCAGGACCAGGTGGACCAATGCCTCCTGGTATGGGTATGCCACCAGGTGGTGGTAGACCATGGCAACAACCAAATACATCTAATATGAATTACTCATCAGCTTCACCAAGCAATCATTATGCAGTATGTTTTATACTTTTTTTTTAATCATAATAGTTCGAGCATATAAAAACAATATTTTTTATCATTTTTCAGGGACCTCCTGGTTCTGGTTCTGGTCCTGGACCTGGAACGCCAATTATGCCAAGTCCTCAAGGTTCATCAGGGCCATATTCTCCTGCCAGTCATAGAATGGGTACACCGAATCCTGGTGGAAGAGGTTAGTTATTGTATAGTTGTTATGATCTGATTTTTTAACCAATGTTTTTTTTTCATTCGTTAAAGATTCCACTGGTTCCGGTGGTGATGGAATGTATTCGATGATGAAACCAGTTGGACCAGGGGTAAGTTATTGAAAAATTACTTTGAAATATCCGAAATCCGAATTTTAATATTATTTTTCGAAATAATTAGCAATTTTCAATGGCACCTGGTGGTCCAGATGGTCCAATAGGTCCAATGGGTGGTGATATGGTACCACCAGTAATGAATGGAATGTCAAATCCTGGTGATGGTATGGATGGAATGAAAAGTTCACCGGCAAATGGACCGGGAACGCCTAGAGAAGATAGTGGACCACCAATCGGTTATGATATAGCAGGATATGGACAAGAAAATGTAAGAAATTTTCTGAAAAACTTTAAAACTATAAATCCAAAAATTTTTGTTTAAAATCATAGGATCAAAATGAATCTGCGGCTATATTAAAAATAAAAGAAACAATGCAAGAAGAAGCAAAAAGGTTTGAAAAAGAAACACCAACCGATCATCAGGATTTTTTTATGCAATGAAAAAAAACAAACAAAAATTAATAAAATGAAAAACAAACGACATAAATTACAAAACCACAACTTAAAAAAAACAAATTATAATTATAATTCAAAAAACTGTATAATCATCATCATCATCATCATTTTCATCATAACATCAACATCCTTTGTATCCCATTTTTTCCTTTTATCATCATCAACATTTTCAAATCGAACCAACCAATATTGATCATCACTGTTTGACAAAAGCAACAAATACGTTCAAAACAAAACAAAACCCGATACAAAAAATGCATAATTTTATTACTTATTGCGATTCTTTTACTTTCTCATTCTCATCAATTTTATCGCATCACACATACACAAACAAAATGACCTTTACCACACCAAAAAAAAAAAACAAATCTCATCTCAAAATTACATCATATTATCATCATCATTTGCAAAAAAAAGAAGCAATTTTTTATATATTGCAATCAAATTCTAATCATTTTATGGTTTAATGTTGCATTCCAAGAGAAACGTTTTTTAAATTGAACAAACAAAAATCAACGCGTTAAAACCGGGAAACTTTTCTTCAATGTTTTTATTTGAAATAAAAAAAAGATGCATTTTTTAACTAAAAAACAAAAATTCTTATTCATCATCATCATCATCGGATTTTTCATCAAAACAAAAATATGATTACCCATCTTATTGATTGATTTTTTCACACACACACACACACCAATTATCTTCATTGTTTTTTACCCGTATACGATGATTAGTATCATGGATTTATCATTTTGTGTGTGTGTGTGATTCGGTAGAAATTATTTTCTTTTTTTTTTTTGTTTTTTCTTAATTAAATGATGATGATGATGAATTTGTATTTTTCCTTGTATCACAGACACACACACGCTGTTCCAATTTTTATTTTATTTTAATTTTCAATTTTTACTTTCAATTTCACACATAGTGTTGATCAATAATTTATTTATTTTTTATTAATTTTGTTGAATTCTTTTTTTTAAAAATAATTTCTTCTTGTGTGTGTATGTCTATCATCATTATCAACTTTGTTTTGTCTTTCTTATAAAACATATTTTGTTTCTCACTTAGCTCATTTTATTTTAATTTTACCTATTTTGATCCAAAGCAACCGACATACACACACACACACACACACACAGAATGAAAATCTATTGAATACGCGGAATATGAATGAATGAAGATTTCTTGTAAATTTCTTTCAATTTTATTAATTATTTTAATTTATATTTTTAACAAACGAAAAAAAATCTTATTTAAAATTATGAAAAAATTTTCTTGCAGCATCTTAATTGTCAATGTCATACATACAATATATACATTGAAAATGTAACCAAACAAACAAACAAACATTTGCAATTTTATTCATCTTTTGTTGTCATCATCATTATCATTTTCATTTTTCATTTTTTCATCAATCATCATCATCATCATCATCATTGCTCTTTGCATATATGATTTCTCAAACAAAACAAAAAACATTATCGAATTCTTATTATTCTTATTAAAAACTGAAAAAAAATTCTTTAATATCCCTTTGGATAAACAAAAGAAAAACCCAGAGACATTACACACACACAACGAGAGCGAATATTCCTCATTTCATTATCATTCGATTCATAAGATTCTTGTTTGTTTGTTTGTTTGTGTTTTTTCCTTTTTTCTTCATTTCCATTTCATTTCATTATTTTTCATTCTTCTTCTTTGACGACGATGATGATGATGATGATTTTGTATTTGTACAAAAAAATATTGAAATTCAACAACATTTTCTCTCGGTAACAAACCAAACAAATTGAAACATCAATTTGTTTCTTTAAAACATTTTCTCTCTTTTTTTTCCTTTTGTCTCTCTCTATCATACAAAACACACACACAATTTTCTCACCATCATCATTGTCATCATCATCATCATCATTATCATTTTTTTGCAACAAAAACAAAACGGAAAAATAAAGATTTTCCATTTCAAAAATATAAAGTTAAAATAAAATATTATTATCATAATTGAATTTTTTTCTTTTTTTTTTTGCAAATTTTTTTCAAAAAAATTCAGCCAGGTAAGCCAACATTTAAGGGGAAAATATTGTCGATTTTTCCTCAGACATCCATATAGTGCTGCCATCTTGATACGGTAACCCGAAAAAAAAATTGGTTTACTTTTTTTTTTGTTGGAATGTTTAAACACCTCCCCCGATAAGCTTACAATGTTGAAAAAGGTGTGGCTAAATTTTTTTTCCAAATCAATTTTGATTGGACAATTGAAAAAAGGGGTGGAGTTTTATCAAATTGAATGATAAAACAGTAGGACAATTCAAATTCAGCCAGGCAAAAAAATGATGATGTTGAAATAAATTGAAGTCGATCCAATTGAACCATGACCAAGAAAAGAAGCCAAAAAAAAGTATCTGGAAAAATGAGATAACGCAAAAATAATGTTATTTTTACTTTTTTTTTTTGTTGGTAACTGGTCGTTATTACAACAGCAATTATTGTGTGTTAACATTCTCTAAACATTTTCTAATAGCTATGGAGAAAAAGTAATAAGTGAAATAAAAAAAATCGGCTTAAAACATTGATCTAATCGATGATTTTTGGAAATGGAATTTTCAATTGATAGTATCATCATCATCAAAAGAGAAAGAGATCGACAAAAAAAATCATGACAATTGTGATTGATTTGAGCAAATTTCAAAAAAAAAAATTATATCCACTTTTGCAGTTCTTATTATCGACTTATTATTATAATTCGAATTTAAAAAACATTATAAACGAATATGAATAATAATTGCCATTTGAAAATACATAAGATTTATCAATTCTAAGAGAATCGTTTTCGATTATCATTTTTTGATCATTATTGTTTGTGTTTTGGACCTAAAAAAAAGACTAAATACAAACATTGAAATCCTATTATCTTCAAACTGTATGGATGAAATGAATGAATGAATGAAATCGGGTTAGCGTAAAGCACCGTTAGTTTTAATTTTAATATGTTTTTTACTGCCAATTTTGCACGTGTCAAATTGTTTGTTTGTAAAAAAAATGTAGCAGTTTTTTCTTCTTCTGCAAAAAAAAACTCATCTTTGATTTTGGTTTATATGATTAGGTAAATCGATTGTTTTATTATTCTTATTCATTCATCGATTGAATCAAGAAAAGATTTTTATTTTCAAAACTAAGCTTTTCACTCAATCTTCCTTCCTGTTGTTTTTATTTTCTGTGGGTTTTTTTTAATATTCATTCTCATTCATTCATCCATGTATAACACACACACACACGTGTCGATAATCGTTTTTTAATTTGATTCATAAAAAATGGAAAAAAATCAACACCATCATCATCAAACAGTTTCTTTTCTACTACTTTTTTTTCTGCTCTACACGTGTTATACAATCACAAATATCAATCGAATGATAAGAATTAGAAAGAAAACAAAAATTTATTATCATATTCTAATCTTGATTGAAAACAATTTTGAATTCAAATCAATCGTTTGTACAACAACAAAAAATGATAAACAAACAATTTTTTCACACATTTAACGCCTTAAACTTGAAAATTTAATTGAATTTTAGCCTTTTTTCATTCTGCCCATCAAATATTTACACAAAATTTAGCTACAGAGTGAGTTCACATTAGTTATTTATAACCGATTATAGAATGGATTCGTGATTCTTCTACTATTTTTCTTTTTCTCGAATGAATAAACATCAATGTTGATATGACATTTTTATGACGAAACGATTGTTTGAATGAATGAATGAATGATTTTATTAGTATCATTTTTTTTCTCTTTCAATTCATGTATGAATTTTTCATTTTTATTTCTCGCCTGTATAATTTTCATCCATATTTTCCATAGGTTCACACATTTTGATAATTGAAATTTGTCAACATGCGCGCACGTGTATGATACATCTCAGTAAACATCATCATCATCATGAATGATCATTATCATTCTGGACACATACATCGACAAGGGAGAGAGAGAGAGAGAGAATGATTTGTTAGAATCACATACAACAATCTTAATATTTTATATCATTTGATCCAGATTTAATTAATTTTTTCTTTTTTTTTGTGAGATCATTTTTATTTAATGATAAGAAATAATCTGATCATTTTAATTTCAATTACATAAAAACTTCTTTGGATAATTTTATTTATTTATTTATCATCATTTTCATGTTCTTCGGAATCACTAAACAATATCGATGATGATGATGATGTTGTTGATGATGATGTTGATGAACTACGAAATAGTTCTTCATTACAATCATGGATCGTTCCGATTGTATGATGATCACATCGTTTTATATGTTTATTAACAGTTTTAATCAATGATGTTGATGATGATGACGATCTTTTTAATATTCCAATATCATTATCATTTGGTGAATTCAACACATTTGAATCATATTTTAAGGTAAAACATCGATGATGATTATTATCAATCATTTCGTTTGATACCAATGATAATGGTAATTGATGACGAAAATCTGGAAAATAAAATTGATTTTTTAAATTGATTGTATTATCATTTTGATATCCTAATGGAATCGGTTGATGTTGTTGATGATGATTGTTGTTGCATGATGATGGCGATGAAGAAGCGGATGATAATGATGAAAGGCTATTCTGATTGTTAACAATAATCGATGTATCGAAATGTTCTTCATGATTGTTTTCGATAGTCGTTGAATCTTCTTCTTCTTCCTCCTCCTCCTGTTGTTGTTTCTGATAATCCAAAACATTCGATAATAATCGAATGTATTTGATAGCTAAACGTAGGATTTCATTTTTACTTAATTTTTTATCAGGTGGATATGTTGGTACCAGTTTACGAAGTTCACCAAATGCTCCATTTACATTCTGTTGTCTAGATTTAAGATTATTACTTCTGGGACAAAAATTATTAATTATTTATTGAGTGATCATTTTGACAAATTTCAATTAATAAGATAATTTTTTTCAAAGATAATTCTGAGCTTACCTCCATCTTTCACGTGTTTCGGACGAAGATCGTTTTGATGATGATGATGATGACATATTTGATGTAGTGGTTTGTAATCGATTACAACGATTCAATCGATGGCAGTTTGATGATGATTGATTTATTTTTGTTTCATTTGGCAATAGACCAGTTGTCGTACTAACTAGATTTGTTTGGCCAGATTTTGTATCATCATTTATCGATATATTTGAATCAATATCCATTGTTTCTGTCAACAATTCTTCTGTTGGTGAAATTGGTTCAATTTTTGTTATCATCATCATTTTCGTAATTGAATTGTTTTTCTTTTTCGATTTGAATCCAAGTTCGGCTAATTATCATTTTGATTTTTTTGGGAAAAAAGAGAAAAAAAAATTTCATTTGAAATTTTGTTTGTTTTTTTTTGTATCAAACAAATTTTACCAGTAGAACTATCGGCATCCATCGTTGTCAAATCGGCTGTCGATTTTGTTATGGTTGTTGCTGTTGTTGTTATTTGATTATCTAATTGTTGATTGTCTTGTTTTGATGGTTGAATTTTATTCGAATTTTTCAACAACAATTCGCAATGTTTTTCATCATCAACATCTAAATGGTAAAAATAGAAAAAAAAATTTGATTTTTTACCGAGAATTCTAATCACACAAAAAACAAATTGCCTTTTTTAGATCTGAATTCGAAGAAAAAGGAAACGAGACAAAAACATTCGAACACACACACAGACAGACAGATAGACAAAGAATAAGTACAAAGGAAATAATGGTTTAGGTTTGCTCTTGTTTTTTGTGGCTGATAATCAATGCAGTTTAAAAAAAAAATCTTGATCAAAACAAAACGGATGACAGATTTTTTTTTTTGTTCTAAATACTCAAATTACTAATCAATCATATTATATATCAGAAAAAAATATGAAAAAAATAGTCACAAAAATATTCAGTTGTTGTTGGAAAAAAAAATTTGTCAAACTCGCATGTAACTAATCAATTGATCAAACGATCGATTAAGTTAACTTACCAGAACGACGACTACGACGATGATTATGATGATGATGATCATTATTTCTATGTCCACTGTTGTTTTCGTTGACCATTTTATCTCCGTTTTTTTTCCTGTTTTGCTAACACACATACAAAAATTGATTGTCCTCTCTTGGTATATGTTGTTCGATTTGAATGAATTTGTTGTAATTGAAAATCAAATTTGTCTTTTTCTTTTTGGTCAAATTTGATTTGGTTGGACAATATATACGATTGCTATCCATGGGCTTGTTGGGTCTTTGTTTTTTTTTTCTTCTTCTTCTTTCTAACATTATTATGTCTATTTCGGGTAATTCAATTGTTTCATATTTTACATCCAACAATATTCCGTACCGAAAAAAAAATGAAGGCGGTCCAATATTCAATAAACAAACGATATGATCATTTTTTGGTTTAAAACATGCCCATCATAACGGTTATATATAGACAAACAACTGATCACTGAAACATTGTAGATTCAGAAAAGTCGAAACAGAATTATCAAAATCAATATTTCTTGATTTGCAAACAAAAAAATGGAATGATAGGTTTCAAAATCAAAGTTCATTTTGTTTGAATTCATAAACAGGGGGAAAAAATGGTGGCTTGAATTTTCAAATGAAAATGAAACCAAAACAGAATTTATCATTTTCGAATGAATTTTGGAATGAAATCGAACGTTTTGGTTTTTTTTTGAAAACAACCAAGAGAATTGTGCTACCATCTGGTGATCATTGTTGGAACGATTTCCATCGATATTTTGGATCATCATCATCATCGACAACAACAATCAGTAAAAGTAAATAAAAAAAAATTACGAAGTGACGGGTGTTTTTGCGTGCAAAAAACAAGTTTATTTTCTGCTGCTCTTTAAATAATCAAAATAATAAATATCAATCGAGAAAAAAAAAGGAAACAAACATCGTTAATGTGTTGTTGTTGTTGTTTTTTTTTATATTTATTTTCATCATACATTTCAAAAACTTTTTCTTTTGAATGAGTTTTTTTTTTGTTTTCTTTCTGATTCAATTGATTTTCGATAATCGATAAGCGGTTCGAATTCGATTTTTTTCATCAACTTTATTGATGATGATAATTTCATTCGAATTCCGGCTCTACAATGATTGAATATTGAATATCTTAAGCTATTCAATTGTCCTTCGTTGAAACAAATTGTGATTGTTGTTTTTTTCGTTTTGTTTTTGTTTTGTTTTCGTAATTTTTTCGAGAAAAGGATTGTTTGATTGTTGAAATTCAAATTATTATTATTATTGTTGTTGTGTGTCATGATTAAACTTAATCGAAGTAATCGACATTGGAATCGTTCACAACGTCGAAGATATCATGATAATGATTTTGATATTCAATTTGATTGGAATAGACGTAAGTTTTTGCCTTCAATATTTTTTGTTAAAAACAAAACAAAAATTCATCAAGTTTATTTTTTTGTTTGTATAGCTTTGAATCAAAGTTGTTATGTAATATTATATCATATAATATCAAAAGATTCTATACAGAATAAGAATAAATTATTAGCCTACCTCAATCTATTTACAAAATATTGTTTATATCGTTATGGCAAATTGGATATTAGCGAACAGGCAAAATTGGCCAATATTAATGGCCAATCATCATCTGAAACAACATCATCATTTTTATGTGATACGGAAATTCTTTGTTGGTGAGTTTTTTTTTTCCTATTTTTTTTTATTCAAACAATATTCATTATAATATTCTGTGTTTTTAGCCTTCGTGTTGGCCTTTTCAATGATGTTGCTGAAGTTCGAGCTGCTAGTTTAAGAGCGATTCGTTATTTTGTACAGAATAAAAAAACATTACATAATTTGATTGAAATTAATCTTCATCATTTGATTGCACGTTCATTGGATATTGTTTTGGAAAATCGTGTTGAACGTGTTCAAGCTATGCGTCTTTTACGTCATCTAATGGCAATCGAACCAAATCTATTTCCAATTGCATTAGGACGTTGTCTTTGTTCAATCGCAAATGATAATTATTCAGAAAAAGATACATTACTTCGTGTTTGTTGGGCAACAATATCCGAATTGACAATTTTGAATGCCATTATTAGTGCTCGTTCTGGTTGTATTAATATTCTAGTTCGATGTGCATTGAATGCCATTACCGGTTTGAATCTATCAGAATATGATGGCGATCTTAGTGGTGGTAAAAATAATCGTAACATAACTAATAATCCGAACAATCTAGTCATGAGTAGCGGCAATGGTATTTTTACTAATTTTACCATACCATTTACAAATATTGCATTATCCGAAGCCATAATCTCATCATTCCTATATTTATATAATTATCCAGAAACTCGACGATTAGTTCATCCGAATGGATCTGATCTATTCTATTTCATATCACCATTCACTGATCTTTATTCTTTTTTTCATGCTTCCACAGCAGCTCAAGAACAGCAAAATTTGAATGCAATACAATTAGATAATCAAGATGATCCACATCATCCACATCATGCTCATGAAGATGGACAAAAATTTCCATTCGATTTTTTTGATGTACATAAAGAAAATAAAGCGGGCCAAAAGAATAAAAATCAAGCACAACAATCATCACAACAAACAAATGCAAGCTATGAACAACGTACACTAAGATATTTATCATGTAAAAATGCCATACTATCTATTCTTCGTTCATGGCCAGGATGTTTTTTTATGTGTCGTGTGGTTAAAATGAATAAATTTTATCCAAATAATAATAAATTAGAATTCAATAGTGAATGGGTAAATATGTCAAGGAAACTTGCCCGTATTTTTTTTGAAGAAAAATTACCCGTTGATGATGATGATTCTACATCAACAATCAACGGATATGATACATTAAATCCATTAGAATCATTGATTAGTCTATTACATTTACCATATACGGAAATACATGGTCATATTTTGGAATTATTGTACGAACTTTTTGGTTTAAAACTACCTGAATGTTCGGAAGACTTTGATGAAGCAATTAGATGTGTTTATTTTAATTATCAAACTAGACAACAAACATCAAGAATGACCATACAATCGAATAAAAATTATCTACCTGATGAATGGCAACTTTATGATGGTTTTGTTGCTAAAGAAGCTGAAGATATTTTACCAAGTTTAGCCGGTGGACGTTTAAATTTTATTATTAATCATCAGGCTCTTTTACTTCAATCATTAATTGAATTTGGCATATTGGAAGCATTGTTAAATGTTATTCTTGAATCTAATGATAGACCAACAGTCAATTTATCAACCATAATGCTAGGAGAATTGTTACATTTATCCGGTAAATATCTACCACAATCATCATATGCTCATCGATGTCAAAGCCTACCAACTTTAGTTGCAGCATCAGTTTCCAATTCTCGTGAACGACGTAATCGTGCTTTGATGACTATAACAATGTTAAATCGTATTCAGGATATTAAAAAACAAGGTCCACAACCTACTAGTCTATTTTTGGAGCAGCAAATTTTTTTCTATTCATCACCATCAAATCCATCACCCTCATCGAATATTTTGGTCGGAAGAAAAAAATCCGGATCAATTTCAAAAATGCAAGATGAAAATGTTCTTTTATCAATTAAAAATTCAAACGTACTAAGAAAAAGCTCATTTCGTGATTGGAATTGGGATCTAATCATCGATATTCTTAAACAGCCTTATGATATTATGCTCAAATTAGAAGATAAAGAAGTACGTTCATTTTGTTCTCGTTTATTGGAATTTTATTTGCCTTCTAAACGACAATTTTCGGCCATATCAAAAAATAGTGGTTTATCATCAACCACTGAAATGACCACTACATCACCAACAACGTTAAAAATGACGCATGGACATAATGAAGTGCTTTATTCAGATAATCCAAGACAGATTTGTTTGGCCGCTATTTATTTTATTGATTTTCTTTTACAAGCAGATGAAAATCATGCTTCCGATTATCTGAATGAATTTATTCATGATCTTGATCGATGTTTGAAAAACATTGCAAACAAAGTGCCATCATCGGATGAAATTTTCATACCATCACGTTTATTATCAACATTATCGCAGAAATATTTTCTACTATTAGGTCGTTTTACTCATAATCGTTCGGGTAGAAATTGGCTGAAAAAAACTCATATCTATCAGAATTTGATCGATTTGATTAATATTTGGACGAATGAAATCTATGCTAAATTGATTATTTCATCATTTGATTATAGTGAAACAGATTTTCCAAGAAATATTCTTTCTAAAGTGCTTACATCATCGAATGAAACGACAAGAATTTATTCAACAAAATTTCTACGTCTTTTATTGCGTATTAATGTTACAGATTTTGCTCAATGGGGAATCGATTTACTAATCAATCAACTTTATGATCAATCATCTGTGATTAGTTTAGAAGCATTGGATATATTAGATGAAGCTTGTGCAGACAATACGAATTATCTAAAAAAAGTTCTTGAACATCGACCGGCACTTCAGAATCTAGGCGATAAAGGAATAGTATTTTTTGCACGTTTTGCATCATTTCCAATCGGTATCAATATGTTGATACAGACAAATACATTGGATCGAGAATTGGATCGTTGGCGTAATCATTTCCATTTACGTTATGTTCGTTTAGTTGAAGATTGTCTAAATGAATGTTTTACTTGCCATCAGAAAAGTGTGACTGGTAAATATGGACGACGACCAGATCGAAGAAATTTTTCACAATTAAGAAGTAGCAGTATGACAGCACATCTTGTACCACATTTTTATGGACAATTAGCTAAAACATACGAAGGATTACAGATTATTATTGAACATTCATTATGTGAAGAAATGTTGGCCATTATTCATACACAAATAAATCGTTTCATTGTGATAAATAAACTACAACAAAATGATGATGATGTGATTAATAAAAATGAAAATCGTGATAACAGTGAATATAATATACTTCGTATGAAGGCTGCATTATGGGCTATTGGTCATATTGGTTCGACTGATATAGGTTTAGAATATTTAATCAAATGTAATACAAATATTTTAAAATTGATTACAACATTGGTTGAACGATCAACAATATTATCGATTAGGGCAACTGGATTCTATGTTATTTGTTTGTTTGCTTCAACATTACGTGGTGCTGATGAATTGGCCTGTTTTGGTTGGTCAGCCATAAAACATTCACATTATGATTGTTTTCCTATTGATCAACAACATTTTGAAAATTTTCATCTTTTTCCCGTTCGAAATCAGCCAAAAGAATTGAATGATTCATCAACAACAACAACAACAGTGGTACCGAAATCAATCGTATCAATTCCATCAGGTTATTTTTCATTATTTGTTGATAATGATAATTCACCAAATAATTTATTATTATCATCACAAAATACAAATAATACAAATCCATTAATGAATAGTAATCAAGCATGTCAATTCAGTATAAGTAGTTATAGTAGTAGTAGTAGCAGTAGTAGTTATCTATCAATATTACCAACAACCGGACAACATCCGTCAAATAAATTGATTCGAATCAATGGTAAATCAATGGAAAAATTATTAAAACCTGATATGACATCAAATACATCGAATACATCATCGATTGCATCGTTAAGTATTATAAATCCATATAATACAATAACGACAAATAATAATCGATTACGATCATCATCCGATTGTAATTCTTCTGCCAATAATAATAATCAATTATTTGATTCAAAAAAAACGAAACCTGAATCTCAAGATAGTGGAATTCTTAATCATTCTAATGATGGTTTGAATCGATCAAATCTAATTTCACCGGAACGTAATCGAAAAATAAGTGCACCTTGTTTTCCAATATCATCATTGATAATGATAAATGATGATGATAAAATTCGTCATGATTCATATGAAAGTGCACAAACAAATAATAGTGAAAGCTGTTCGGCTAGTTTTACTGAATATTCTACAACATCAAGTCAAAGTAATACACTTGTTCATCATCGAACATTTGAATCGAATAATGTTCAAAATGAAAGTAACAGTTTATCATCACAATCAATCACAGCTAAATCATCAACACTACCAACAACACCTGTACCTATCAATAACAATAATAATCGAATTATAACCAATCAATTAATATCAAATTCTATGGATAATAGTAGTAATAATCGACAACAAACACCAATAGTTATTGTTAATGGTGATGATCCATATCCAAGTCCAATGGATGCATATGGTTATGCACAATTAATAGCCATACAAAAATGTCGAGTACAATCACTTTCGGGAAATGGTTTTTTCAGTTTTAGTAGTAGTAATTTTTCCAACAGTATTCCGGATTCATTTCCAAAAAGTATCGATTCGGTTAATACTGATACATTTTCAATGGATTTATTTCAAAGTAAAAATTCATCGAATGAAACATTTCAAAAATCATCGAATACAAATCGTATACAAATTCAATCGCCTGTTCAATCGATGATGAACGCCAATAGTAATCAACAAAACAAATTGATAATTAATCAATTATCAGTAAATGATACTATACAAGGTGGTGTTAATACTAAACAACGATCATTATCGAATGATTCACAAATATCCGGTCAATCAGAATTTGAAATGACAACCGGAATCAATTTTCAACAAACAGATGAAAAATCAAATTTCATGTGCCTTTGTCTTCCACAAAATCTTTCACTTATTTTTCATCTTGAAGAGGTAATATTTTTTGAGAAAAAAAAATTTTATTAAATTTTGAAATTTAATTTTAATTATTCATAAATAGAGTACGACCAACAAACCAAAAGCAAAAGAACGATTAAAAACTTCTGATCAATTAAATAATGTTCATAATGCTGCCAAATGTTTATTATGTTGTAAAGATTTTGGTATTGAAATTACGAACAACAATCATTTATATTCATCATCAAACAATGGTAATCATTTTATTTTTACAGTTTTTCACTGATAATAGTAATTTTTTCAACAAATTTATAATCAGAACCATCATCAGAAGTGGAACAAAAATCTGATTCGGAAATGATTGATAATGTTAATGATCTGGAAGTACATCGTGATGAAGTATTACGTTTAGTATCAAATTTAAGCGTTGCAATTTATTCTAAACAATCGGAACAAGGACTTTTAAGGTAATTTATAATTGATTTCTTCTTTTTTAAAAAAAATCATAATTTTTATATTAATTTTAATCGATCAAGTCTTAAGCAAAAATATCCAAAAATATTTGAAAATTTCTGCCTTTATTCGGATGTTTGTTTACAAATGGAACGTAATAATTATAAAATAACTGCAAGAAGATTTTTACATGAACTTTTTATGGATATCAATGTTAATCAGGTATGTGTTTATTTTTGTTTTCCAAATCAAATTATGATTAACAATTGTTTTTTCCCATGAAAAGTTTTATCAACATGCCGAAGCTATAATGAGGAAGTACGAACATTTAAAACCAATTGAATCATGAACCAATCAAGATAATAAAAACAATGAATGAAATTTTGTTGTCAATCTTTCATTTTTTATTTATTTATTTTTTAAAAAAAACTGAATAAACTATTGTAGTCTTTTCAAAAAAAACAAAAAATGATTTTCATTCAAAAAATCACGCAAAATGATAAGCAGTCACACCTGTTGACGAAACATTTATTCAGGTGTGTTCGTTGCACGCATGCGTTGTATGTTTTACCTGAATGAATTTATTTTTTTTTCTTCGGGTGCTCACATCATCATCATTCTTTTCGAAATTTCATTCAGTTTTTCTTTTTTTTTTGAATTGAAATTGAATTTTATTGAAAAAAATAAACAGAATATTGTGATAAGTTCCATAATGGAACTATATATGGTTTGCGTAATGATGGCTATGTAAGTTATATATTTGATTTATGATTATGATTCTATGTTTATTTTATTCTTGCTTTTTCGAAACTTTTTGTTTTCAGCGCATTAGCAGTCGTCATCATAAAAGGTATACAATGTGTATTATCATTGATACATCCAATGCCAAGCGAAGCTGATATACGATGGAGACAAAATCCACGATTACCACTTGAACAGCATAAAAAACAGATAAAAATGGCACATAAAAATAATAGTAAATCAACAATTAATAATGGTGCCAAAGAAATGAATAAAATTAAAGAACCAAAAGAAAAACGATTACCACGTAATATACGATTAGAAAGGCTTTATGCCGGTTCACCAGCATCATTCGATGAATTTATTGATACTAGTTTTAGTCGACGATCAGATTTTGATTCAAGTTATAATCGATCACCACCACCAAGATCGGTTGATGATTATGTTGTACGATTAGATCATCACCATCATCATCCACAATCACAGAATCAGGTATTTCAATTTTATGATGATTTTGTTTATATCAACCAAGTAATTGTTTGTTTGAACTATAGACACTTTTAGAACAGCTATCATTTGCCGAAGATGTTGATGATGATGATCCAATTGAATCATATGTAATGCAACAGCATCGAAAAATATTAGAATCGAGCCAAAATAGAGCTTCAACACCTATACAACAACAACAACATAGCTCAAGTACGACAAAAAGTCCACCATATTCAAAAAGTCATGCAACAATTGTTTGATCAAACCAAAAACCAAATCAAAAAACAAACGATAAATTCATTCATATTCATTTTTGCTCATTATCATAAAAACATTTTTGGAAAAAAAAACTTACCCAAAATATTCACTTTTATATAAATACCTCATCAAAGTTTATTTTTAAAAATTTTTCTAAAAAAAAGAACACATTTTTATAATTCGAAAAAGTTTTCCCTTTCGATTTGATCGTATCATAGATGGCAGCAGCCGTACTGATTTGAATGTCGAAAGAAACCTTTTCAAAAAGAATTTTTACTTTTTTTTGATTGAATAAAATTTTAATTTTTTTTAAAAAAAAAGCAAAATCATGTTCATGATTGTTGTAATGGGTTAATTCCGATTATCATCATCATCATCATCATCATGATCGGATCAAATTTAGCCAAAACGAAATGAATGTCATCCGAAATTGCAATGATAAACATCTGATGCCCGAAACATTTTTTTATTAAAAAAATTCCGTCGAAAAAAAAAGTTTCAAATTCTCACTTTCGATAAAGTCATTGAATTGTGTGTGTGTGTGTGGTGTGTCTATTCATTTTACAATTAATTTGAATCGTACGGAATCCAGAAACATTTTCCAACATCATCAAGTATATAATGTTCTCTCTTGTTTTTATTATTATTATAATAATAATGTGGTTCCCATTTTGAATTTAAAACAAAACAAAAAAAAACATTCTCAATTACAAATACCAAATACCAAATATCAAAATGATTGTTTAACCTAAAATAATGAAAATTATTCATGCATTTTTCCATTTTTCGATTCTATATTTTTTTTCGTTCAAACAACAACCAGATAAACCAAAAATCGATTCTTTCAAGAATTCATATTTTTCTGTTTGTTCGTGCGTTAACATTTTTCAATGTTCCATATGATTATTATGATGATGTTGTTGAATATCACCATCATCATTATTATTGTCGTCGAGAATTTTCGGAATGATAACAGAACAAAATTCCATAAACTGAACAATTTTCAAGTCTGGAAAACAAGAAAAAAAAATTCCAGATTTTTTTTTTCTCTCACTCACAGCTTATTAATAGTTTCATCATTTTCAAATTTTTGGAAATTTCTGCTTTGAGATTTTCCAAGTAAAAATGATTGCCTATTTACATTATGTTTATGTTTTTTTGCCATGATGTTAGTTGTCAACATTTTTTGTTGTTGTTGTTGTTGTTGCTGTCTGGTTAGATCTACAGAAGAAGATGATGATGGGTGTAAATGTGGATATGATATGTAAGATAAATCAATGATTATCACATCAAAACTACTTTTCCATTCTGATGGTTGTGTGTGTGTGTGTCAGCTTGAAAATGACATCAATTTTTCCATCCAGAAACACATTGTCAATTTGATGATTGTTTGATAAAGAATGATAATTTTTCCTGTTGTTGAATTCTGTATTACGAATATGATGTGTTTGTGTTTGTCGTCGATATATTAAAATATGATTTTTTTTTTTTGATTAAATTTTTCTTCCTTTTTTCGTTTCTTGGGTGAATTTCAAATGAACTCGTTTTAGCTCGTGTAAACCGTTTGTCCTTGTGTTTTGTTTACTCTGTTTGTTGGTGGTTGATATTCAAATATTGTCTTTATTTTGTGCAACGAAACTTTTTTTGTTGATGATTTCCGTATACTTTTATGAATGAAAATCTTTGTTTGCATAGCGATGAAAGTCTAGGTCTACCCTAAAGGCTTTTTTTTTCATCGCAGAAATTCATTTCATTCAAAGAATTCACTTGTTATACAATTTTTTGTTTGTGAATATTATCTGTGTTGCTGATTGGCCAAACTGAATATAACTGTTCATACATTCACTTTCTATAGAATTTAAAGAAGAAAATGAATTCATAAATTTTTTTTTTCCAGAATTCAACACTTTTTTCAATCAATGAATTTCAATGTCGTTGTTTTGTTGTTTGCTGGAAAACAAACAACAACAACAACAACAAGAAAAACAAAACTAACCCAAACATCAGCAAAACTATTCCATATTTTCATTTCTAATCTATCTCTTGAGTATCTATCTCTATAACTCTATCTAGTAACGATCTTGATGAAAATTCTGTATATATGTTTGTTGTCCTGTTTTTTCTTTTCTCCTTAAAAGTGATTTATGTTTGAAAACATCTTTTTTTTTGTTTTTTTTCTTTTTTCTCATCTTGGAACTTTGAGATGGGCAAAACAACAACAACAACAACAACAATAAATTTAATATTGCTAAGGAATGAGAGAGAAAAACATTGAAAGAATCTCTTTTTCCCTTTCACATTCAGACAATAATAATATTTATTTTTATATATAAAAAACAGTGGTTTACAAACTTTTTTCTAGCATCTTTTCATCGATAACATTGCTTGGTTGGTTGATTGTGTGATAATGAATGTAGAATTGGCATCAAACAATTTTAAACTGAAAATCTTCAATGGTTGAATATCACTGTAAAAAACATTAATATAATCGAATGGCTAATCTATTTCAATATGATGATGATAAAACATCAAATATAAGTTTTGCCATAAGTTTTTTTTTTTTGAAGCCCATACTAATAAATGATGATTGACTATCTTTAAAAGCCTTTAATGGCCTATGTATATTTTTTAATATTTTCTATAATAGAAAAAAACGATGATAACCGTGTGATAAGAAGAAGAAGAAGAAATATTTTTTTTTGTTCCTTTTGTTTCATAATAATAATAATATTCATATTCAAGTAAATTTTCTTAAGAATTTTTTGGAATTTTATCAGTAAATAAATGTTGAGAATTTTAGCTACTTCACTGTTGTTGTTATTGTTTCATTCACATTATGCAAAGTATTTTAGTCAAAAAGAAAAAAAACAGAACAGAATTTTCATTTCACAAACATAATTATCATCATTAAATGAACTAAAAAATTTCCAAAATAATTGTCCCTTTTTTCCCTAAACGTTTACAAATTGTTGTTGTTATTCTGTTGTTTTAAATTGATTTCAAATTGTTACCATTTCATTTTATTGTTTTTATTTTGTCATAAAATTTTCTTTCTTGTTTTTGTTTGTTTGTCTCACTTTTATCCTTAATCATAATAAATTGAAAAAAAAGAACTTAAAGATTCTTTAAAGAATTTGATGGATGTTCAAACAAAGATAAATTGTTTGTTTGAAAAATTGATTTTCGAATCTCGATTCAATGTTTCAGTGTTTTTGTGTTTAAGTGCTAATAAATCATTGTTATTTGCGCAGTGATTGGAAAGGGTAAAGTGAGAAAAAGAGAGAGAGAGAGAGAGAGAGAGAGTGTATCATTAAATTTTAAACCTCGTTAAATTTTTTTTCGTTGTTGTTTTAAGCTTTTTGTTTGTTTGGAGATTTGTTCATTGCAATTATTTTGTCTTGTATTAATGACAGAAAGTAAATTAAAAAGTAGCAAAAACTCACTAACTAACTAACTAAACTTTTCATAAGATAAAATTGTTGTCCAGTAGGGGGAAATACCAGAAATTTCGATCCAAAAATCTTTCTTGTTTCATTAAAACAAGATTACAGATGCGGACTATACACACATATTCTACAAAACTTGATGCGGCTTATATAGAGGTACTTGGTAGTCAAAAGAATTTTTTTTTCAAATCTGTTTTCAACAATCAAGACATCAACTGCTTGTACAGTGAGAAAAAAAACATCGTAATTTAAAAAAAAATTTAAAATAAGCAAAACGTGCAATGCATACACAAATATTATTGAAATTAACTCGTTAGAATCTGATTCTTTTTTTTTGTCTGGATGTGTGTCTGCATATGTGTGTGTGTTGTACCTTCAGATTAATTTGCATCATCGTTTCAAATCTCTAGCTCCATACTTGAAAAATTTCTTATGTTTCTCTTTTTGGTCATATTATTTAAAAATCATGCATTTCAAGAGTGAAAAAAAACGAAATATCACGTACAAACCTATGTTCATCAACTAAGAAAGAAAAAAATTAAATAAAATTTTCAAAAAAAAAAACAAAAACCAAATTACATTCTTATTTGGGCTTTTTTTCTCTCGCTCGTTTCATTACCATAATCGTATTGTTACTGGGAAAAAAACTTCATTTTTTTCATAACGAAAGTGGTAAGATAAGAGAGCCAAACCAAGCCAAATCAAACAACGAACGAAAAAGAAAAATAACCCAGTATCGTTTGAATTTTGTTTTTTTGCCTTATGGAAAAAAACTACATTACATAATAATAATATGTTTATCATCGAATTCTTTTTCTTTTCCCTAACATTCTGATCTAAACCAAACCAAGAATAATGATGATGACAATGACAGTAAACAATAGTAGTTTTTTTTATCATTCATTTTTCTTTTTTTGTTTGAAAAACACCATCATCACTTGTATGAATTGCGTGATTGTTTTTTGTGTCTATTTTCATTTTTTGAGGTTCCAAAAACCCAAAAAGAAAAATTGTCTTCCTGTGTGTATATCCTGTGTTTAGTTTTCATTTTCGGAATAAACCCAAATGATGCTCACACAAACAAACACAAAACCAGATCCAGAATCGAAATCTTTCGTTTTTTTCTATTTTGTTTTGTTTTCATTTTGAAACTAGGAAAAATAGATATAAATAATGATGTTTGACATCTACAATAATAATAATGATATGGCTCACAAATCAAAATTATCAATATATTGAATAGTTTGGGATTTTCAGTTAGTTAGTTTAGTTATTCCAGAATCAAAATGATAATCCTGAAACAACAAAAATATATTTTATCCATTTTATTGCAGTTCAAATGTAGAAATAATTCATGATGATGGAATCTTTATAATAATAATAATGATTCTATGAATGGAATGGAATGCATTGATCAGTGAAGTTTGTTTGTTTTGTTTTTTGTTGGATTCGCTTAATGTTATTTTTTGTTTTGTTTTTCAATATTCAAAATTACTTCAATATGAAAATGATGGGAATAAAACATCCAGAGAGGTCTCTTTGTCATTTTCAACGGTTTTTCTTAAGAATAACTATCAAGAGTCACTCGTGTTGATTTTTTGAAAGTTTTTTGCTTTGGCAATTTCTTAATAACCCGAAAAAAATGGAAATTAAATAAACAAAAATTTATTTTGATTTTCGAGAAACACATAGTGTGCGAACAATTTGTGGTATTTTGATTTATAATAAGTTTCCCATCTCTGTGAGAATGTGGATAACAACCACTGTGTGAGTGTTTACAATGTTTAATATCAATATTTTTCCGATTGGAAATTTCAATTCTTAATTTCAAAATAGTCAACATCAGTCAATTCAATTCAAACAAACAAACAAACAAGATTTATTTGCTTGAATTTTTTTCACTTTTTTTTCTGGTTGGTTTATTCGAAATTTTATTCCAGGATTTTTTTCTTGCTTCAATTTCTTATATGATTGATCGATATAAATAGAATATTTGGTTGTTGTTGTTGTTTTTGTTTGATGGTAAACCAGGCGATTACTTTCTTTTTTTTTGTTGTTGAAAAAATCAATTTCCAAAGGAAAGATAAATACCTTTGGAAATTGATTGCCTAGCAAACACATAATCTAAATAGTTTGCAAAATACACTTAGTTTCTTATTAAGATAAGTTTAAGTTTGTTTAACCCCTAATCAACACAGATAAATAAATTGGATATATATTTGTCATTTATCATCAACTAAACCAATCAACAAACCAAACCAATCCATATCTTCTTCTTTTTCCAAAATCTCGTTGTTTATTTGTTTAAAAATAATAATACTTTCTTTTTATGTTTCCTTTTTCTTTTGCTTGTTATCAAACAGTATGATGATAATGACGAATCTTTAAAGCATTAATGGCTAATTTCCTTCGTATTTGGTTCAACAACAACAGTTAAAAATCTAGGAATTTAATCATGTCACACATCAAACGAACGAATCAAAATCTCAAGTGTTCGATATTCATATTCAATTAATAATGATGATTAGATAAAAAAAAATCTATCTAATCAAATGTTAAATGAATATATAGGAAATTGATCTTTGATTGATTTGTATGCGTGCGTGTGTATGTCACATAAATATTGAAAAAGAAGAGGAAAAAAAGACGAACTTTGATTTTTTGTTGGTGTTTTTTTACCAAAACAGAACAACCAATTCAATTCAATGTTATTCAATTTGTTTTTTTTTGTTTGTGTTCGGATCTATTCATCGTAACACAATCGGTTGTTGTTGTTTTTCTTCTTCATTCGATTCGATTCACAATATCGTCAACTAACCAACCAACCAACCACAACAACAATCGTAATCAATTTTAAATGATTACGAATGAAATAAATCTTGCGTCAATGACAACGACAACAACAACAACAACAGCGACGACGATAACAACAACAAAAACTAAATTTTCTTTCAGTATATCAATTCTTCAATTATTATTATTGTTGAATAAATGAAAGTTTTTTTCGTTTTCATCATCTTCTTCTTCAATGTCTATTTGGTTGTTTGATTTGATTTTTGGCTATTTTGGTTCACTGAAGAATGTTCAAAACTTTTTCAATTAATCAGTGTTGATCAATTTTGTTTTTGGATTTTGTTATTATTGTTTTGTTTGATGAGACTTTTTTCCCAAAAAAACTTTTGTTTTCATCATCCTAAATACTATATGCATCTGTTTCTGTGTGTGTGTGTAATGATTTCGGATTGCTGCTGTTGAAATAATAATAATAATGATGGAAACAAATCTGGTCACTATACCTAATAATAATAATAATGATCCAAATGTTAATAACAATAACGTTAATGATGGACAAAATATTAAATCAAAAACGTTAAAGTTCATAAATGAACAACAGCAGCAAATAATTGATGATAATGATGTGGATCAAAAATCTAAAAATAAACAAAATGATACAACAACAACAACAACTATGGTGAATAATACCGCCCTCAATTATAATGATGATGATCATCATCATCGACCATATTGTGTAAAAGTAGCAAATAATAATAAACAAGAATCATCGACAACAATTACAAATAATTTATTTGATTCAGATAGATATTGTAATATAATACGTGAAATACTTGATTCAAGATCAATAAATTCTGTTCGTTCTTGTTCAACTTGTAGTGCAACAATTCAATCACCATCCAGTGGTATAGAAGTTCCCTTATTCTTTCAAGATGCTAATGATTTTTCATTTTTTTTGTTTTGTAGATAAATCATTGATAGTAACCATTATTGATGATGGTGATGATCATGACGATGATGATAATAATAATCATCGTATGAATAATGATGATGGTGGTGGTGGTAGAAAACAATCAAAAACAACCGAAAAGCAATATGATAAAATTCTGGTAGCTAAAACATCTAAACATCATCATCATCGTTTATTCTTTCATTGCAATATATGTGATTATTTGCATAGGATATTACGGTAATCTTTTTTTTAAAAGTAACGTTTTTTCATTAAAAATAATTTCGGTTTTTTTCTCTTCTCTTTCTTTTAAAATAGTTACATCAAATTTATTGACGTTTTATTTATAATTGCATCATTTTTATTTACATTAATAATGTTACTGTTATTACGATCAGATTTTTCAACAGATATTCATTCAATATTATTATTAATATTAATTTGGTTATCAATCGCTAGTATTTATCTATTATATCCTACATTTAAACGTTGGTTTTTATATTGGAATCCTGGTTTTAGTTTAACAAGACCAAGTTAAACAATTATTTTAATTATAATAAAATTACTAAAATAATAAAAAGAAAATCTCTCTTCCGATAAATTTTAATTACAAAATTGGTTTTTTTACAAATTGAAGAAAATCCTTTTTTTGCCAATCTAATTAATCAAATTTTCATTTTTATAATGTTGTTGTTCTTGAAGATTGTACATTTCCTTTTTTTCCTTAATTCCAAATAATTGTTTTTCTCCATTATTGTAAATGTTGTTTTTGTTTTTGTTTTCGTTGTTTTTATTATGATTATTTTTTTTCGGTTAACTGTGGAATAGTCCAAAAAAACGAATAAGCATGGCCTTTTTCGGTATACGCAAACAAAAGTATAATTCAGATTCAGGTGCAACAAGCATTGTTGATTATGTAGAGAATTTTTTAATAGAATGATAATGTTGCTGCTCTATATTCAATACGCTCCTACGCATATATTCGATTCTGATCTCTCTCTCCCCCATCCGCCCCAAAACCATTTCGTACATAATACCCATGGGAATGTAGCAAATGGGAAAAGAAAAGAGGAAAAGGAATCCGCCTTGTTTTTCCATCAACATCATCATCAACAACAAATAATAACTATCGACTGTTCGTTGATAATATTTACGGGTATGGCCACCCTGTTCACAAAAAGAAAAAAAAGATTTTCTGATTTCTTTTGCACAAGGTCATAATGATGAGCAGCAGCATCCACAATCGGGCACATCATTTTATTCGGCGACATTTCCGAAACTGAATACACACACACATGGCCTTTAGGTTTTTTTCTATAAGGATTATTATTATTGTTGGAACAGTGGTGGACTTCCCCAAATTATCAATACTACTATGGTTTATTGTCATAGTGATGAATGTATAAACCCAAAACTTCTATCCACAAACATAGATATGGTTTGATTCTCTATTTTCTCATCCCCTTTTCTGGTTGTTATTTTGGTTCAATACCACTATTTTATTTCGCAATTATATTTTGGAACACACACACACATATACATTTACATTGGGAAATCTTGTTGGAACAGTCGAATAGAACGGTTATTTGTTGATAGGGAAACCGAAATTATAATATGAAAATTTTCATAAAACGCATGTCCATTTCGAAGATAATGTGTACATGTAATCCAAAAAAAAATTGGGGGGAAGGGAAAATATCATTATATTCAAACATTCGATTTATTTAAGCGCATGACTAGATTATTTTTTCCCCTCCTCAAAAATTTTCTATGGTCTATGGTTCCGTCCAATTTCTATACCACCACCACCACCACCATAGAAAACGGACCAAACTAACGGTATATTTATTGTTCCTGTTATAATGATGGAACATAGGAAAACCCAACTAACTAACTACCGAAAAATGTATATATGCGATTCTTGTTGTTTTCAAAAAAAAAATCCAAAATCGAATAGTGTGACCAAAAAAAAAAAAACATTTATACATCCGACATCATTCATAACAAATAAAAACATCAAACACATCACACACGTTACACACACACACACGGCACTTATTTTATTCTTCGGTTCTCTTATTTTCATTTTTCATTTTTCATTTTGTTTTTTCACACTATCAATTTTTTTTTCTGGATCAATTTCGTCATTTGTTGTTTTAATTTGTTTTTAAATATTTTTGTTTTTTTTTTCATTTAATTTTAGTTTTTTTTGTTGTTGTTTGATTCTACTTTGTTCTTGTTCTCAAATCACTTTTTTATTTAGTAAAATTTAATGATTTTTTAAACGTTTTTTCTGACTTTCTTAATTTTTGATTTGATTATTTTAACACCGTTGTGGAGTCGTGTACTGTATGAAAATCTTCTTGAATATTCTTGAATGAATGACCAATTTGTCAACCAAAACAAGGCTTACATCATCATCATATCTGTTGATAATCAACAACAACAACAAATTCCGCATACATGTCATCTGATACTCATTTGATTCTTCAATTTATCACATTTGATCAGATTTCATTTTATTTTTCATTTCATTTCTTCTTCATCATAAACCAAATATGATCTATTGATTTTATTTTTTCGTTTTGCTTCGTTCCATAGTTTCAGCAAATTGATATTCTAATTCTTTTTTTTGTTTCTAGTCATTCGTTACAGAATTATTTTCCAGAAGAATTTTTTCATTTATTTATTTTCTGCTTTTTCCGATTTGTTTTGCTTTGTTCAAATTAATTTTGATTTTGATTGTTCATCATTAAATACACACTCAAACACTCAAAAATCGACGAATCAACAACTGTCAACTGTTTTTCTTTGACCAAAACACAACAACATTCCTTGATTTGTTACATCAAATTCATTTTGGATTTTAATCACTTTTCAAATCAACAACAACAACAATTGTTGGGTAAGTTTTTTTTTTGTTTTTGTTTTGTTGAAAACAACAGATTCTTGTTACATAACAACATCATGGTACACATCATTATTTCCTTTTTTTTTTGTTTTCATTGACCGTTTTTTTTTTGCTTATAACATCATCAAAAATGTACGAATTATTCCAATTCTTCCATTTTTTTCCTTTGCACTCACTTCCTTGGTATACGCAAACTCATTACACAAAAAAAAAGAATATTTGTCGCTCCCATTTTGGTTTTTTCCCATTCCATTCCATTCTCTGTATAAAAGAATCCTCTAAGCTTAAATGCGTTTGCGTATACCGTCAATATTCGTTCATGTGCGTAATTTTTTAACTGTATGTAATGTGTTCCAACAACCATAAGTGTTTCAATAAAGTAAAACATGGAATTAAAAAAAACCAAACAAAAAGAAAAATTGCACTAATAACCATAATGATGTTGATAATGATTTTGTACCCTGAATAAAATGAAAATGACAAAGAAAATAAAATTAACCTTTTGGAAAATCAAATGCTCTTTTTATCTGTTTTCCTTAGTTTAAATTTTTCATTCATTCTTTCTTTCCTTTTCGCGTGTTTTAAATCTCAAATTTCCAAAAAAAAGCAATTTGATAATCTAGTTTTTTTTGTTAATTTGAAGATTTACTTTACTTTTCAAAATTTAATTATTCTATTCTGATTAAATTCTGACCATCGTTACTTACTGAACCTTATTTTCATTTAGTTGATAGTACACGTATCACCAAAAGAAGAAGAAACAAAAGTTTCCATTTCTGCTCCATGAGATACGAATCTAATAATAAAAAAAATCAATTTTACTAATTAGTTTCATCGTTGGTTGATGTTTCTTCATCATCATGTTTCATTGGTCGACCATTCAATTCAATTTACAATCAGTTTTCCTTGATCATTCAGTTGGATAGCAACAGTTTTTTTTTCAGAAAACTTGTAAAAATTTGTAACCTAGACAACATATAAAAAAACAATTTCAAATATATATTGGATATATAATTTACTATCGATCAAAAGCACGTATCAAACATTATTATTATTATTAGCCAAAAAATATGATGAATTTTTCTTCTTTTCTCATCGAAATGATTGGCTTTATTATCAGTGAATGAAAGGAATGAATTTATTTATTCATTTTGTTGTTTACATTTTCCTTTTAAATTCTCTCTTTCTCTCTCTCTCTCATTGCCATTAATGTTGATTGAATTAATTTATTGTGAGCTGAATGTTGTTCAATCGGTCTGTTTTATTTCAGAATTTTATTCATTCATTCATTTTTCCCCTCCTTCCCACCATTCATCCATCAATCCCCCCACACACACACTGGATTCTGTGTTTTTTTCAAATGTTTTTGTTATTTTTGAAATGAATCTTTTCGTTTTTAAAACTTGTGTGCTGTTTTTCCTGAGTGTGCAAAGAAGAAGAATCTGGTAATGTTATATGAATGTGTAGAGAAGATTCTCTACAATTTGGTTAACCAGAACGATGATGAAGAAAGAGGAAAAATAAAAAAAAAATTCTTCAAAAACTTTGAAAACGATGAAAACATAAACAAATCATCATTGATTTTATGTTGGTTAAGCAAAATTTATTTTTCTTTCTAAAATTTCTTCAAAAAAAATTGTTACATACACACCCTTATTTCAAAACAAAACAAAGTGATAAGAAATTTGAATCGTGGAACATCGTGAATTGATGGATGTTCCAACAACAACATTAACTGTGATGTTTCTTTTTTGAAAGATTATTGTTTGTTTGTTTGTTTGTGTTTTTCTCAGTCATAATTAATTTATGTTATGTTTTTTTTTGTTTTTTTGGTTATCCTGTTGCCAATGTTTTTATATGTTGTAAAGAAGAAAATTGTCAATTTCTACCTTTTGAATAAAGTATGTTGTTTTTCCCCCATTATTTTAATTATTATTATAACATTTTGATACAGGTTTTTGTTGTTGTTGTTGTTGTTTCTCTTGTGTATTATTATCATTATGTTTGTTGTTGTTGTTGTATCCGAAATTTGATGAGAAACAAAATAACCAATAACAACAACAACAACAACAACAAGAAAATAACATTTGTGTGTGTGTTTATTATTGTCATTTTTTGGTTTCTCTTGAAACCTTTATAATGTGTTTTTTCCTATGATGATGATGATCAATAATGTACATTTGTTTCCTATTTTTGTTGTTGTTGTTTCTTTAAAAAAAATGAAAACAAAAAGAAAAGAATATCCATCCCAAATATACAAATAGATTCGGTAATATTTTTTTTTTTTTGAAATCGAAAATCTTTTCTAAAATACATTTCCTAAGGATTCATTCATTCATTCATTCATTCAATCTATTGATTTTTCTGTTAAGTTTTCGTTGTTATTATTATTATTTTGGGTGCTTTTTGTGTGTATTTTTTTTACATCATGTTCACGCTTATTGATCGACTTTAATATTAATCGTGATGTTGGTTAGGGCCATGTGTGTGTGTGTTTGTGTGTATGATGAGTACGCAGATTAATTCATGAATTGAATCGTTTCATTTCGTGTTTCATTGGGAACAGGCCATAGGAAAAAAAAGATTGTTCATCATCACACACATTCACACTTTTATAAAAGTTCAGAACTTTAGGTTCAATTTAATGAAACATTAGAACGATAGGAAAATGAGACGAAGAAAGAAACGAACGAAAAAAAAACGATAGGGATGTTATGTACATAGTAAAGTAGCAAGAATGAATGAAATGAAAAAAATCCATATTAATAGCTGGTAACAACACCACCGGTATATCACGCTAACTAATCGATCCATATATAATATTTTGTTTGACGATCCCATTCTCTATGTTTGTTTCACGTGTTTGTTCATTGAAATGAAATAAAATGAATTGAATGAATTGAATTGAATGTCTGTTCCCAATTCGATTTTTTTTTTTGTTTTGTTTTGTTTGTGATGAATCATTTTGGAACACGTTTTTTGGTTTGGTTTGAAACGTTGTTTTTTCATTGCGACCGTTTTAATTTTTCGTTATCAAATAAGTTTGAACCTTTCCATTTATGGGATATATACTTTTTTTTGTTATTGTTAGGTTTTCTCTTGTGTTTGAGAATCACCGTAGATACCGTTAAAACTTGGTCGATAAATAGACACGAATGACAGCTGTTGTTGTTCTCGCTGAGATATATAATAGTAAAACATTCATACAATTATACATTGATGCACGCGTTTCTATTCTATTTTATTATTTCGCGTGCAAACATCGACCTTTGCCCTTGCCGACAGCATCAGTCGACCGATAGACTAAATAGCCAGACTAGTGCATCCATCCATCATTCATCATCATCCAATGCAATGCAAAACTCAGGATTATTATGGTGAATTGTTGTTAGTTAGCATCATTAATGATTGATAATTATATTCAAAAAATAAAAAATAAATCACATCTACGACATCTGGTGTATGATGTTGATTTCAGTTATTTCAAAAATCTGTTTCGTTTAAACGGATGTTTAATAATTAACTTTACCGTTATTTTTTTAACATTGAAATTTTGTAAAATATTTTTTATTTTGTTATTTTCTTTTTTTACAACAGAATTTGGCAAAGTCCATATGATCAACAAGCAAGCTTATTTCTGCGTTCCGTTCAATTTTGATTTCTAGTCAACAAATTTGCTGCAGCTATCAACGAATTCCATTTTTATTTCACTCTACCTCCAGAAAAATTCTCATTAAATATTTGTTTTAATTGTTGTTTCGATCAATTATAAATATAAATAAATGATTTCATCAGCTGATTTTGAATTTGATGATAACGGTTCAACAATGAATGGACTACACGAATCATCATCACCAATCAATCATAATGGAAGTATTCATAGTAATTCTTCAGTACATTCAATGGAAGATAGTAAGACAAATTTAATTGTCAACTATCTACCACAAACAATGACACAAGAAGAAATACGAAGTTTATTTTCATCAATCGGTGAAGTTGAATCATGTAAATTGATTCGTGATAAAGTTACAGGTAGATCTTGTTTATTTAAATAATTGTTTTTTATTTGTTATTGTTTTCACCATTATTATTATTATTATTATTTATCATTTCAAGCAGGCCAATCATTAGGTTATGGTTTTGTTAACTATGTTCGAGCTGATGATGCTGAAAAAGCAATCAACACGTTGAATGGTTTACGATTGCAGAACAAAACAATTAAGGTTTTTATTAAACTACTTTTTTTCCTTCTCTTACTCACTTGTTGATTTTATATTTGAATAGGTATCATTTGCACGTCCAAGTAGTGAATCAATCAAAGGAGCTAATCTTTATGTAAGCGGTATACCAAAAACAATGACACAACAAGAATTGGAAAGTTTATTTGCACCATATGGCCGTATTATTACATCAAGAATATTGTGTGACAATATTACTGGTATGTTGTTTTTTTCATCAAAACATTCAATGATTCTCATCTTTACTTAATTGATTTTATTGTTGTTGTTGTTTTTTTTTCTTAATTTTCGGTGTTTGTTTTTTTTTCACACTGATAAATGAAAATTTCGTATATTCATATATATTTGCTGTTGTTTATTCATTCATTTATTTTTGTTTTTCTTTTGTCTTTTTTTTCCCATACAAACCGCATTCATATTTGGAATTTGAATTGAATTGAATACGATGATGATGATTACGTCCCAATATTTTTAATTGAACGGTATTGTTTTTATTTTATTTATTTATTGATTGATTTTTTTAAATATGAATATTGGCTATTGAATGATGCATGATTATGATTGATTTTTTATGTTGCTGCATCGATTTTTTTTGTTGTTGTTGAAATAATAATTAACTTGTAGAAGATCAATTGCTAATATTAGAAAATTCATCTTCATCATCAGGTCTTTCAAAAGGTGTTGGTTTTGTACGTTTTGATCAACGATGTGAAGCCGAAAAAGCTATTAAACATTTACATAATACAATACCGGAAGGATCATCTGAACCAATTACAGTAAAATTTGCAAATAATCCAAGTACAAATGCAAAAGCATTAGCACCAGCATTAGCTGCATATCTTTCACCACAACGTCGTTTTCCTGGACCAATTCATCATCCAGCTAATCGTTTCAGGTACTTACATCCATCGATTTCACCAATCTCAAGGTACGAGTCTGACCGTAAATAAAACAAACGAACGTTTCAAATCCTTCAAAGTTTCGGTCGATAAAAACTTTTCCATTTATTTCCTTTAAAAAAAAAAAATTATATTAATATGTGGTCGTCATGACGTTGTTGTTGTCATCATTCAAAATCTTGAACAAAAATATGATTAATTTTATTAACTTTATTTTTAGGTTATTATTTGATTCTGTTTTTTTCATTCTTTCTTTCTTTCCTGCTCAATATTTTGGTTGGCTTGAAACTTTTTTTTCTCTTGTTTTCGACAATTAATTTTCCGTTTTTTTCTTATTTCAATTCATCCAAAAAACAAAAACATAGATCAATCATTCAATTACAACCATAATACGTTTGTTTTGTTTACTGTTGGACCGTATTTTTGAGTTTTTTTTGATTTCATTTTTCATTTTCATTTTATTATATTTTAGTTTGTGTGTTTTTCCAAAGCAAAATTATATTAATTTTTTAGAAATATTAAATTCAATTTGAATTTGTTCCCAGTATCTTTTACTAATCGGATGTTTTTTTGTTTGTTTGCATTTTATTTCACAAAAAAAAATAATATGTAGATATTCTCCACTTGCTGGTGATATATTGGCCAATCCATTGATTGCAGCTAATGCAACATTAAATGGTGGTGCTGGTTGGTGTATATTTGTTTACAATCTGGCACCAGATACTGAAGAATCATTATTATGGCAATTATTTGGACCATTTGGTGCCGTACAAAGTGTCAAAATTATTCGTGATTTACAATCGAACAAATGTAAAGGATTTGGATTTGTAACAATGACCAATTATGATGAAGCATTAGTTGCTATACAAAGTTTAAATGGATATACATTGGGAAATCGTGTATTACAAGTTTCATTTAAAACAAACAAATGTAAAGCTGCATAAAAGACAAAAATGACAAAGATGATCTTTGCTTCAAGAAAGTAAAGATCAAGAACAATTTTCCATCAAAAAAATGCTGATACTAGTCCATCCGTTTGATATGTGTGTGTGTGTGTTGTTTGTATGACAATTTTATACACACATCACATTCTTATTCTCGCCCCCCCTGTCATACTAATTTATTATTATCGCTTAATATTTTCTTTTTCATCATCAAAACAACCCCCCCAAAAAAAAAATATTATTCAATCGAATAACTTCGATTACATTTAGTTTTTTTTGGTTTTCTTCTAAACCACCCCATAAATCAATTCATCATTTGAATCGATTTTCAAATATAACATTTTATTTGCTTTTCTGGTTCTCAATTTTTTTCACCTTCACAAAACGAAGATTTAATCCTTTTTTCAAAAAAAAAATTCTGTTTGTTTTTTTTTCTACCAATCGACCAAACATAATATACATACCATTTGAAGATTTCATGATGATGATGATGATCACCTACCCATCACCACAATTTGCATATCAATTTTCATACATTTAAAAAACAAATCTATATTTTAAGAAAGAAAAAAATGAAAATTTTAAACCATTTTTTTTTAAAAATCTACTTATTCTATATATTCTATTTCAAGTTAAATTGATTCTTTAAAAAAAACAAAACAAAAAACAATTTCTTTTTGCGAATACCAAACGATAAGATATTTGTGATGATTTGATTTTCAAACGAAACAAAACAAAATATTGAACGTTAAAACAACAAAAAAAAACATAACACACACAAAAGTTGATTTATATTTGCTTTTACTGAATGATTGACCTTGATGTTCTTCTTCTCTGGATTTCATTCCATTTCTTATTCTCAATTATTTATCACCAATATGACCATTATTCACACTAAATACACACGATTCTAGTCTTATTGTTTATTTTATTTTCGCTTTTGAATTAGTATTTATCTAAATAACATAACACCAATGATAATGGACGTGGACCACAACCAGAATTCTCAGTCTCAATTATGTCAGTCATTTTTTTTTCAAACACAATCGAACCTATCGATCAATTTTTGATTATTTCTATCGATTATGATCNTAACAACCCCAAAAGAAAAATTTTTATTCAATCGAATATTTTCGATTACATTTAGTTTTTTTTTTTTTTTTGGTTTTCTTCAAAAACCCCATAAATCAATTTTCAAATATAACATTTTATTTGCTTTACTGGTTTCTCAGATTTTTTTTCACCTTCACAAAACGAAGATTTAATCCTTTTTCAAAAGAAAAATTCTGTTTTTTTTTTTTTTGCTACCAATCGACCAAACATAATATACATACCATTTGAAAGATTTGATGATGATGATCCATCCACCCCAATCGCCATCATCATCATCATCATCATCACAATTTGCATATCAATTTTCATACATTTTAAAAAAACAAAAATCTATATTTTAAGAAAGAAAAAAAAACTGAAAAAAATGAAAATTTTTTTTTAAATCTACTTATTCTATATATTCTTTATATTCTATTTCAAGTTGAATTGATTCTTCTTCTTCTTCTTCTTTAAAAAACAAATACTTTTTTCTTGCTTTTGGAACGATGTTGAAAAAAAAAACAAAGATAAGATATTTGTGATGATTTGATTTTCAAAAACAAAAACAAAACAAAACAAAAATATTGAACGTTAAACAAAACACAAAAAACAAAAGTTGATTTATATTTGCTTACTGAATGACCTTGATGTTCTTTTTTTTCTTCTCTGGATTTCATTCCATTTCTTATTTCTCAATTATTTATCACCAATATGACCATTATTCACACTAAATACACACCGAAGTACACACGATTCTAGTCTTATTGTTTATTTTATTTTCGCTTTTGAATTAGTATTTATCTAAATAACATGACACCAACCAATGATAATGGACGTGGACCATAACCAGAATTCTCAGTCTCAATTATGTCAGTCATTTTTTTTTCAAACACAATCGAACCTATCGATCAATTTTTGATTATTTCTATCGATTATGATCATCATATTTTCTTTGGTTTCTTTTCTTTTAAGTCACTTCAGATACTTAATTATCACTTAGAATTTATCATTATCATTAGAGTTTTTTTTTCTCACGCACGTTTTTTTTCAGATTATTTTTCTCTTTCAGAATATTCTTATTATTTCAAGAAGGTAATTAACTAGTCATGAATATTCACACACACCACCATTCACACACAAACATCATTCAAACCTTTACCGTTAAGTAAATCTTGATTTCTTTTCATTTTCATTTTCTTAATTGCATATTAATTATTCATTTGAATTTAGACATTTTGAATATTGATTGATTGATTTTAATTGTATTTTCGTTTCATTTTGGATCATTTCATTTCATTTTCAATTTATTTTGAATTTAAATTTAATTTTCTCATCATTCATATTATTGTATTATTTGATTTGATTTGATTTTTATTTATTTGTGTGTAGTTTGGACAGAAAAAACTTTCATTTTCAATTTTCAATTCTAATTTTGTTTATTTGATATTTATTTATTTGAAAAAAATTGATGAATAATATTAATAATAATCCGTAGATTATGTTTTATTTTTTCTCGTTTATTGCTTTTGTTTTTGAATTTTTCGTTTTTAAATTCTGGTTTTTTTGTTCTCTCTTATTGATTAAATGCGCGCATTTTACATTATTCAAACATACGCACTACAAACACAACAAAAAACAAACACAAAACATAAAATCATTGCTACAGCTTCACACTATGATCTCAATCATTCCAATTTACATTTTATTTCATCAAAATAAATAAAAATGAATAAAAGAAAAACAAAAAAAAATTATTCAAATGAACACCTATGCCTCCATCCTCCATCGAATGAAAAATTTCAATTCTATTCAGCAATCATTTTATGAACAATTTTTTTTTCTTTCTAATTCAAACGAAAAAAAAGCTTAACAAACGAATTTTCATACCGTATTTTTATTGTTGTTGTTGTTGATGCTTATTATCATGAAAAACAAAACATTTTTTTTTTCAGTGCCAAACAAATAAAACAAAAGAAAGAAAGAAAACAGCTTTATTTCACTTTTTTTTAAAAAAAGGATTTATGTATAAATGATAAGGGGAAAAATATTCTGATAAAATGGCAAAATTGATGTTTATGATTTTGTATTGAATTTTTTTCAAATCAATCTTGTGTGTGTTGTTTGTCAATCAATTGAAAATGCCTGGAATATATTTTTCTCTCTTTCTATTACTCTCTTTTTTATATTTCACAAAAGAAAAAAACGTAACTATTGCATTTTATTGAATTTTTAAAAAAAATTTTGTCGTTGGAATATACTGACCAAACATACACACACACAGAACACAATTAACTATCAATGAAATGAATCTGATGTTAATGAAATCTAATTCTGTAATTCTTCTGTATGGATGAATGGAGTGCAATAATGTCTGGGTAAATTGAACAAAATTTACACAATTTTTAATGAGTATCTTTTCGGAAAAGGCCAAATCATACGACCAGAGTCCGTTGTTAATAATGTTAAATGGAAACTGAATGGTAAATGTTCAACGCACATTTTACACAAAAAAACACATTGATATTTTCAATATATCAAACATTCCAATGCTCATCTTTTCTCCAACAACAAACAAACAAACAACGACGATGTTAACAAAATAAAATGATAATGATGACAACAACAACGACCAGAGAACATTTTTCATTTCAAAAATCAATATTTGATATTATTATTATTTGTAATAATGACCATAAAAAAAACATTTATACAAAACAACAGAAAAAAAATTTGAGACTCAAAGATTCTATATTTATTTTTTGATACTGACCCAACAATATGAAAAGAATATAAATTCCCATTTCAAACTCTGAACACTTACATCATCATTCTTTTTAATCAATATTTTCACAAACACAAGCATTATTTTTTTTGGGCATAGACTTGTCATCATCATTTTAATATGTGTGTTTCAAGTGGAATTTTTATAACCAATATTCAAGTGTATACTCTTTTCTTTTTAATATTTTGAGTTTAAATTGTCACCTCTTCAATGTCTTTTTGTTTATTTGTTTGGTTTTTTTTGTTTGGTCTTTGTTGGTTGATTTGGAATCATTTGATGAAAATTTCACAACAACAACAACAGAAAATTCGGCCAATTTATCTCTTCAATTAATCATCATCATTATACAACAACTAAATCGACCAAAAAATAAATTTCAGTTCATTTCCCCACTCTGATGACAACATAGAGATAAATAAATCTATGGGGAAAAATCGATCAATTTATCCATGATGACAATGTTTGTTTGTTTTGGCTTTGATTGAAGAACTTTTCCATCAACAACAACAACAACCAAATGAATTTATTTTCAATTCAATTATGTCCATTATGGCTTTACATTTTTTTCACCCCAGAATGACCAAGACATCATGAAGAATACAGAAAAGAAAACAACAACAAAACAACAAAACAAAATCATTCCATTATTTTGAATCCAAATCAAACCAATTTAACTGATTTATATTTATTCAATTCTTTTTTTTTTTTTTTTTTTTTGCTAACATTCATATAATACTTAGCTGAATATACTTATCATTGAAAAAATTTAGA